CTTGAATAGGCCGTCTACAATATCAACAAAACAGCAGGGTTAAAACCACAGTGCCACGATTGAACACATTCCCCCAAACATCAGGTAGACAGAGCTGTGACAGTAAAAGAAGGAACGCAGATACAAAAGTAAGAGGCTTGATATTTTACTAATAACTCGTCAATTAAATAAGCACCATTACTCTTCACCTACCTGAAACCCCACCATTTATTTTTGCCTGACATTTGACCAAGAACCAACTATCCATTAAATAACTCCCATTTAATATCCGCATGTTGATATCAGTGCTTTTGATCGGGCCTGAGTCAATTGGCCGTGACAGTTTGAGTTCAGGACAGGGACATAATGGACTCTCAGACTGAAGCCTCTGTTACTGAAATGAGCAGCCTGGCATGTTAATTATTTCATGATTACAGCCATAAGCCCTGTCTGCTGTATTAGATGGTCACATTTAATGATGGGAAGAGTCCAAGCATTGAAGACTTCCTCTCAGTGAGTGGTAAGAACCACAGTATGCTTGCAGATCCAGCTACACAAGCAAAACATCCAAAACCTTGTCAGGAATCAGGACGCTGACCTTAAATCCCTGTATCTTTTTACAGCGTCTTTGTGATCTGGAACCAGAGACAGTTTGATAGTTTTGGAAATGTGCTAATCTGCTTTGTGTTTTTGAGATTTGGGTAATTGGGTGGATTCCAATTTAATGTGTAGCATTTTTTAAAAGAACTTTGTATTTGTCAAGTTAAAGTCGCTAAAGGCGCGAACTTGCAAAAAAACACCAGTTCATGCATAATGTTACAGAAGCAGTATGGTGCGAAAGCTGATGAGCTTTAGTGGTGCTGTTGGGCATAATTTCTATACCCTCATTTTCCCGGCCATGAGAAAGATAGAGGAAATTGCGTCAAAATAGTGTAAGCTAGCTAGCATGCTAGCACTAGCTTGTTGTTAAGAGTTATTGATCTTCGCATCTAATTTGGTAAGAGATTTTTAGGGTGAAACAGTTTTCCAGAACATCAAACAGTTCTCGCACTTCTTTGTGGTTTCAAGCAGCATTTTCTACCGAATCGACCCTAAATGTAACTTTAGCATGCACTGTGGGGTTGATCTCTCCCTCCAAAACAGCACAATCGCTTCCCTCTGTTGAGATTTCAAGGTGCTGTATGGACTAATCCCTCCGCTGATGCCTGGAGGAAGGAAGAATAGGAGAAGAGGAGGAGAAAAGGAAACAACGCCCTAATTGCAGGTGGCACATTTAAGAGTTTGCTTTTAGAGTCACAGGGCATCTTTGCTCTAATACATTAAAAAAACAAACCTCTAAGTGGAATTTTGATTGATTTACCACACTCTCTAACCTTAAAATGCTTTTGGTTAACATTTGAGATGACATCTTTCTTTGTTATTGACACTTACGGTTCTTTAACTTGACCTTAATTTGTTTTACCAAACAACCAATTTTAGAGACTGAGCACAATCTGATTACAAGTTTGTCGTACATCCCAGTCAAAACTTTACGAGACTTTCCTTCTCTCAGTTGACAAGTCAGTATGTATGATATTAGGAGGTCTGTGGTGTTTGTGAGGACTTGCATGTGGACACTTTTTTTCTTTATTTATGTTTTCTATATAAACTTTTAGCCAAGAAAAAAAATTGGTGTTTCAGAACAATATTTGGAATTTTATCATTTTCACTGATACTGATGATGATCCATGTGGTACTGTAGGTGTGTGTGAGTGAGTGTGGGTGTGTGTGTGTGAGCTTGTTTGTGCAAGAGAAGACACCAATCTTACAGTCAAAATGTAGGTTCACGAAACACAGCTGAATTTGACTGAAAATTTAACCAAGTTAGAGAACAGTTTTTACTCTTCATGTCATGCAAAGACTAATTTACTGGATAGTTTTTGTAAATGATTTTTTAAAAGGTTGAGGTCTTGGTTAAAACATTCATTGTCACTGAGGATGCCTACTTCATTTTCAACTATTTCTCTTCTTTTTCACCCCTTGGATATCTCAGTACGGTCCTTTTTTTCTGTTCTTGTATGTGCCTGATTACATACGCTTGATTACCTCTGTGTGTGCTCATATGAAAGAGGTAGAGTGTGTGAGAGATTACTGTTTATTGTACATGTATTATAAAACTGTCTGTAAATACCTCACACTCATGGACTTTTGATAAAAACTGTACAAAACCGCAGAGAATAGATCTATTTGGAATAAATCTTTGATTCATAGAGGTCCCCTTGCAAAATTGCTTTTATAAAGACTTCAGGCCAGGATGTGTGCAATCATTTACTGTTACAGGGCAAATGTGCACATATGAAGAGTCAAGGTTTGCTTGGTATGCTTTTTGTTTGGATCTGGTCCAGCGAAGACCAGCGAAGGAGGTTGTTTTCTCAAAGAAAAAAAAAAGTCGAGCACCATCATTCATTGATACACAGAAAGCACAACAGATTATCTGCGTTTTTATGAGATAGTCTCTCTTTCTTTTTTTGTTCCTCTTTGGCTCATCTTCTGTTTTTGTGATTTGCCACAGAACATTGAACGACTCCGCCCCTGAGCTGTACAGATTGTGAAAAATGTACATACCACATAAAAATCTAGTTCGCCCTCACATTTTTTGTATGGAGAGAAATTACTTGTGTGAAGAGAGTATTTCAAATTTGATTGAATATTGAGTAATTTTGAAAATGAGATTTAACACAGTCAATGTGAAATTAAGTGCTGAGAAATATTATTCTTCTGTCTCTTTGGAATAAAAGTGTTGAGTATTAATAAAAAATAAGAAACTTCAAACTTTTTGGTCTTGTTTTATTTTTATTTTGTTTTTCTGTATCCGGTATCCTTCTGTCAACAGGCTGTGGACAACATGTATTATGTTTAAGTTTGTACGCTCTTACTACTAAATGTCATAAAATGTCATATCATACATATCATAGTTGGTGATGAGTGTGTTTGAGATGATGGCTGCGGCTGAGCATCATCCTCTGCTCTTCGTTCATCTTTTGATTGTGAATCTCTTGTTCTGTCATCATGTGATGTTGGCACAATGTTGAACTGAACTGATAGAAACACATGAAAGACGTGTGGTGATAAAGGATGAAGGGGCAAAAAAAGAAAAGTGATGCAAATTGAAATGAGCAGAATAGATCAAAGTCCCCTTACCCACCACCGCCGCCACCCCACACACGCAAAAAAGAAACCCCTCATTCCCGCTCTCTTTCTCAGTCTCTCTTTTACTCTTACAGCCTTGTCCAGCAACAAGAGTTATTTAAAGAAACCCGCAGGTTGGAAAATGTACAGATGCCTTCTTGTGGGTGTAGATCTGGTGAAATTGAACATCTGCAGTCGGTTGGATGCTGACACTGAACGAGGTGAGGCACTCGAAGTAATCTTGTAATCTGTTTTATCTCCTGCTTCTTCTTCTTCTTCTTCCTTAAAAAAAAATCCAATGTTTACTATTTCCTCTTTCCACCATCTATCCTGCTTACTTGTTCTTCTAACCCGACAACCTTGGTATGCATTGCAACACATGTAACTACTTCTTGACAATTAACTGTTACCTAGCAACTGGCTCTTTTTCCAGAGATGGGGGATGTGGAGGGGTGAGGAGGGGAGGGGTAGAAAGAGGAAGAGAGAGATTTATACAGTATTCCCACCATATTTGAACTGGATTGGATGCAACAATGCATTGACAATACAATACCAAAATAGGAAAGTACAGCCTGAGCTTAACACCCACACATGGCAGCACTGAGAGGAAGAAAAGGGGGAGGAGGAGGAGAAGGGTGGGTGACTGATGTACTGATTACAGTGTGATTTTAAAAAGGAGGGGTGGGAATCATGGGTGTAGAAAAGTAGAATGAGTGAGAAAGGAGTGTGCAGATGCAGGAGAACCCCTGAAAAAAAAAAGAGATAGTAAATTTACAGCCGCCACGCTGCAGTTTGTGCCGTGATGACGCGTGGAGGAGATGCCGAGAGAAACCGGTTGCTGTAGAAACACTTGGCAAAGTTTTAATGAAGGCAAAAAGTTTGGCTAACTGTGCCCACAACACACATGCACACGCAATCACCATAGGCAAACAAATAGTATAATTATGTTAGCAGATAATAGGCACCCCCTACTGGGTCCTTGAGGATGATTCCTGACTTCAAATGTGTGAAAACAAAAAGATCAGGCCTGCGTGAATCAGTGGTGGTGTTACATGAGATCACAGCAGCAGGCGAGCACTGACACCATGTGGCAAAAACGAGACATCCTCCTGTTGCTGTGTGAAGTTAAGAGTATAATGCACGAGTGAAGGGGAAATTCTGGCTGGATTATCTTCAATGTGTGCCAGACAGATTATTTATTCATACAGTTGAAGACAGGACCCAAAGGATCGTACATGACGACAGGAGATGCTGCTGGAGGGTATTCGGAATAAATTGAGTATAGTCAATTTGGGGTTTTTTTTACTTGTAGATATGGTTGTCTTCAAAAGTACCCGGACAATTGAATATTAGATATGGGTATTCAAAAGAAGGACTTTTAAACTGGATCAATAGTGGCTGGGATAACTTACCTCTTTACTTATAGAGTACTTCTGGTGTCAAATACACTAAAGGTTTCCGAGTACAGTAGAAGAGCTTTCATTACACCCTCTCTGACTGGGAAATGGTCCACAGGCTCAGTTTAAAACGCACTTTAAATCAAGTATGTGAATCCTAAGTCTAATGTGTGATAACCCTGATGGATTATATGCTTTCATCTTAGTTATTTACTCATCTTGCGGCTTCTTTAAATACATCGTCACAGCACAAAATTCATCCAACTGATCATGAATTTCAAGTAAATCTATATATAAATCTATCTGTATGTGTTTCATTTAAAATCCCTGTGTTGCACACTCCTGAAAAAAACTATTATGACACTTTGAATCTGCTAAATGTATCCCTCTTGTTTGTAAAAAAGTCCATGGAAATGAATTTTCACAACACGGTATTTATCAGTCAATCATCACAAGTCTTTGTTAAAAAGTCTTTAATAACAGAGAAAGTATATTCTAGATTTTCTTATAGAAATGTGTATAATCTAACAGAGTCTTTCTATATTATCATTTACAAAAGAAGAATAAAGAACAGTTTAAAAATAGATTTCTTACATTTATATAGATTTAAGAGTAAGTAGATCCTCTTCTCATGCTCCCACCCCCTCCTCTCAGTATGCTGGTCTCTCCCTCTGCACCAACTTCACTCTCTCAGGCCTCAACACTCTCACCCGTCTCCTCCTAAGCATCTTGCTCCCTCTTTGAGGACTGTGCCGGGTCAAACTGGTCATTGCCCCCCTCAGACCCAGAGGAGTCAGTCCTCCCACCACCCCTAACTCCTCCTGCTCTCCATCTTTCCCCTCCTCCAGGTAGCCGTGGTGACGAAGGAAAGGCTCCAGGGTTGCTAGACGATTGGAGAGCTCAGTGATGCGTCTGCGCAGGAGGGACACCTCTCTGAACAGGTCGTTGACAGACTCGGACAGAGGGCGTACCCTGCAGGACAAGCAGCAGAAGCTCAGGTTTACAAACTACAATAAGTGTTGAACAAAAATATAATAAATGCTTAAATAATATATTTGATTTGTAGCTTATTTTCCTACAGTTAAAAGAAGAAAGTGCTACTGGATCTGGCAAACTCATAAATAACATTTTGCTGCTCATGATAGATTAACAGTTAGAAGGCTATAGCAAACCAGACCAGTGCATTAGCAGCTAAGTTTGCTATTCCTCCACAAGGAAGACCTACTGAAGTAAGCTATCAACACGTCTAACCCAAATAAACTTTAGAAAGAGAATGACATTGTCAGAACCTCTGAACTTAATCATTAAGAAGCAAATGAGGAGAGACAGACCTTTTAAACGGCCAGCTGATGAATTGGACTGATTAAAGGCTTTTTTTTAGCAACCAGTATCATATTGACTGTAGCCCCATTCAAGGCCAAATGTTTTGTTAACCCTCCTTCTGTGTTAGGGTCTGCATCAAGACGTTTTGACTTTGTCAGGGACCTCTAGTTCAACAACATAAAAATGAAAAAATTAAATTGACTAAATTATAAAATGCTCTTATTAAGATTGTGGCACTTGTCGTGTTAGGGTCACTGTTGACCTGGTTAGATCAATATCTAATAATTAGAGCAAAAACTGAAATTATAAATGGACTGTCAGGCACCACACTGACAGTCAGATCCTCTTCCAGTCACGTGAGAAATTCTCATTTTGACTGTTTTTACCTGCACAAAAAACAACGTCAGGCATGTCCAGACATGTGAGATCAATTCAGTATAGATGTCTGTATAAGGGTTATACCAACAAAGAAAGGCCCAGAGGACCACAACCAAAAACTATTATAATCAATATTTTCATGGATAATGAAGCCTAACAAGTTAACCTAGAGATGAGAACCAAATTGGATGATAGAGAAATGTTTTTAGTGTAATTTACAGCTGATTTAAGACACGGGTCAAACCAACCCTTAGCATGGTGGGTGTGTAGTAAAAGCTAACACAGGAGGAAGGTTAAAATATTTTACTGGCTAAGATAGCCATGAAAATTTGATATTAATGTGCTTGATATAATAGATTTATATTTATACTTCACTTTTTAAAATTTAATTCCAGTATTCAGCTTGGATTTTTTCTTCCTCTTTTAATAATTCAAGACGCCCTGGCAGACATCCAGAATTGCCTTGTGGCAGTATTTGATTTAACATAAGAATTTTTGGTCCACAGTTATTTAATACAATGTTCACATATATTTCTGGTTGCATTCATTAGTATTACTTATTTGTTGTATTTATCAACTGCAAAACAAAGATAGAAAAAAAACATTGTAATATTAGTGTTCCAGATTGATCATTAACGCTTTTATTGTCAGTATCCTATGCCATAGGAAAACTGTAATGTTCGACCACTAGAGATGGGGAAGGAAAGCAGACTCAGGCTGCTCAGACAGGCCGATACTGAACGTGGAGTTGTGAGAGTTTGTACCTGGAGTAGTCGGGCAGAAGTGCACTTGGCTGAGAGTGCAGTAATGTCTTGATCTCATTGAAGATCCGTTTCCCCCAGGCGTCCAAAACACGGGTCACACTGCGCACCGCGGCTATGTTCACACTGTCAGCTGAAACCAAAATATTTCATCAGGATTCAATTTAACAACTTACTTTGGCACTTTGACCTCTGATGACCCCTAAGCTCTACTTTGTTTGGCTCCAAGTGTGTTTGAGGGGAGGGGGTCATACTCAGGCATAGTATAGATGAAAGGGCCTAGTGTGGATGCGTCCTTAGTTTACTCATAAATTAACTTGAGATTCAGAACCTTCACTGGTTTAGTCACAGCCAGTAATTTACTAGTTTCATATCTCTATAACGTGGGAGATCAAAGGAATCGTGATTTACCGCCCTCTCTGTAGTTCCAGTTCCCATAATCCAGCTCGTTCTCTTCACTGGCTGACTGGGCCCCTGTTGCTACAGCAACCACCATCAGTACCATCCACAGATAAGGAGGGGCCATGACGAGGAGACAGGCGGCCCCCTCTTTTAAAAGGAGATAAAAGAAGGAGGATTAAAGAAAAACAGTCTTCTATGGCTTTAAATTCGACCGTATAAGACAAACAAAAGCAGAAAAAGGAGAAAAGGATGGAAACAACTAGTGCTCATGTGTGCTTCATGTGCAGCAGCTGCAGAAACAGATGGACTAAAGCTGAAGACTCTGCTGCATACAGATGTGAAAACACATGTGTACCCAGTGATAAGAAGATAAAAATGTACATTAACTGAGGAATGACTCTCCTTATAGAACATTATAACCTACTTAAACATGTTCTGGTTCCATGTTCTGCTATTAAGATGCTTTAACCCTTTTTTAACAGTATAAAGCCTAAAGTTGGCTGTCAGAGGCGACTTTTTTTGAACATGCAAACATCAGGTCATAAACATCATTCACTTTAATAACATGAAAGTATCAAGTGAAATCTAATCTAATCTAATCTCATCTCACCTCATCTTTATTAGTACCTAGAGTAAACTTGCTGTGCAGACAGGTGTGCAGCCTCTGTGTCTGCACACCTCTCATCTCATCTCATCTCATCTCGTCTTGTCTCATCTCATCTCGTCTCGTCTTGTCTCATCTCATCTCATCTTGTCTCATCTCATCTCATCTCATCTTGTCTCATCTCATCTCATCTCATCTCATCTCATAACACTGATAGGATTCAATCAGTGTTACTGGGATAAATGAGCCAAAAGATGGGCTGATAAAGTCTCAACCCAGACACACTTAGACTTGCTCAAATAATGAATTTAAGACTTCTATTTTTAAAGACAAATGTTGAACTTTTATTGTCTTCTATGTATCTGATAGTTACTATGTAATTACATATCTAACAAATCTAACATGTCGGAAATATCCTGTGGCGACATGCTCTATGTGATTGGGTTCCTTCAGTTCTTTGAGTATAATAAATTCAGCAAAGTGCATTGTGATTACAAATATTATAGTTTCAAAAAGTTTTGAGATTGTCAGAAAATAGTCAGATTTCAGATTTTTGAGGGTTTATTTCGTGACCCCGTGAGTCCAGGTTTGAAATGAGAGAGAAAGTGAAAGCCTGCAAGCCAGAGAGACAGACACCGAAGGAAAACAAAATCAGGATTGCATCCATATGACAAAGTCTATGAATCATACTGAACCATAATAAGATGGTGACTCATTGTCGAGGCATTCCAAATGTTTTCAGGCCATATGAAACTGGAGGTGGATCAAAGACGCGGGGAAAATTAGCTGTGCAAATAATCTGATGCAGCTTGTTTCACATCTGGCCAGACACATCAACAACACTGAGAGTTAAGCCGTGAGCCTCGACACTTCAGCATGACGTGTTTATGTTGGAATAAATTTATTTCTGACTTTGCAAACTAATAGAGCGGAGTCAGAAAAAGCACATGCTGGAGACGAATGATCTGAAATACTCACAACTTCAAATGATGATGATGCTCAGCAGGAAGTCTTCCTTCGATCTAGAGCTCCAAATGCCTCTTCTCTGCTTGCCTCTTTTCTCCGTTACTCTCCAGATATTTTCTTCTGATTTCTTCCTTCTCTCTTCTTCTCTCTCTCTCTCTCTTTTCCTTTCACTCTTTCTCTTTTCCTTTCCTTCTTTCTATCTCTCTGATGCTCTCTTCTGAAGAGGAGTGCAGCAGTTTCAGGGCTTAGCCACAGTCCTCAAGGCTGACTCTTTCTGGGGAGCTGTAGTAACTTTGCAGCCCAACAAACGCCCAGCTCTCTCTCTCTCTCTCTCTCTCTCTCTCTCTCTCTCTCTCTCTCTCTCTCTCTCTCTCTCTCTTTCTTGCACATGCACTCACACACTATAACATACAGCTGCTGCCAGATGTGTTGCATGTCGTCTTCTTTCACCCTTTCGTTCCCCCTGTGTGGAGCAGACAGGTATACGTTTCAGAGGCTGTGATCTTACTCTAGTGTAGGATCCTGTTTTCAGAGACTCAAAAACTTCATCATGGACGTCTTCATCTGTTTCTGTTTCCCACTATCTGCCCTTAAGCTTTTTTGTAATTACGTAAAACAAGTTGTTGTTTTTTTTCTTGACCATGACTTAACCTGACAACACTGGACGCTTTGCATGAGTATGTTTATTTAATTTTACCCTCAAGATTAATATAAACATTTATTTTAAAACAGACTGCAGTTTTTTAATAAACTGCTTCACTGTCTAGTTTTCTCAGTTGACTCCCTTCCTTTTGCTCCCTGAGACATTTCCATCAGCCCACAACCTGAACTCTCTAATCCCAGGTCACTTAATCCTGCAGACACACAGTTTGAGTTCTTAAACCCCCAGCTTTGGACCCTCATATCAACACTGTCTGCGTCTTCAAACAACCAGAAAGGCCACCAGACAGCAGTCTGACACTTGGGCTGCAACAGTCCACCATTCCTGCTGGGCTTCAGAAAAACTCCCCCATCACTGTCTTTGAAAAAAGTCACCTCTTCTTGTTAGTCTGCAATAAAACTTTCCTGCTTGGTTCAATAAACATCATGTAGTCCTACTCTGTGGCAACCAAACAGCTCCTGCAGGGCTGTGGCAAATGCCCCCTGGCTGAAACAGTCCCCTGTTTAATGCTGCGTTCAAGTTACCTTGGAAGTCAGAAGTAGGAGTTGGAAATGATGTCACACCTGAGTTAACAGCATTTCGGTTACCAAGTCTGGAAAAAGCAAAATCAGAGGCAGAAACAAGATCTACAAACGGGGACGCTAAAATAACTTAAAATAACTTAAATAAACAGGCGCTAATATAACTTTCATAGATGTAGTCATCTTGTTTCCGCCTCCGATCTTGCTTTTTTCCGACCTGGTAACTGAAACACTGGTAACTCAGGTGTGACGTCATTTCCAACTCGGACACTTGACTTCCAAGGTAACTTGAACGCAGCATTATGACTGCAACAGTTGTCCCTGGTGTCTGCATGAGTTCTCCATTCCCACTGGTCTACAACAAAGATACTCTATTTTTATTGGTATGCCTTTTGGTCTTGTTGTACTTATAAGTCCCCTGTTTCTGGGATAAACTAAAGTCCTCTCTTCCTGCTCATATTGCAGCAAAATGTCCTTGTTCTTCATTGCCAGTAGCAAATTTCCTGTTTTGAACAGATTCTTTTCCAGATTCAAATAAATTCTTCTTCCTCAGCTGCAACAAAAGTCAGATGTTTCTGCTAATCTGAAGGAAGCACTTGGTCCAGCAGAAGTCCCCTTTGTTTTTGATGGGCTGCAACAAAATCCCCCAAAAGATGCACGACCCCTCTTTGCTGCAGAGCAAGCCCAAAGTTCCTGCTGGGCTGTTGCTGCAGTTCTCCATCAAAATTTTCCTCCTCTTGCGTCACTGCAGCCTTGGTTCCTTGCTCTTGTTTGGCTTTGATATTGGTCTCCTGTTCATGTTGGGCTGCAGCGTTATAGTCCCCTTGTCCTATAGGCTTCTCTAAAGGTTCCCTGGTCTTGGCTGAAGCAAATGTTCCCTTCCCTGCTGTGCTGCAGCAACTACCTCTTTTCTTTCTGGTAGAGAAGCTTTATCCCAGCGATTAGATTATATACGCCATGTACAGAAGCTACAACTAGCCGAGTGGGCAACCCAGGCTCTGGACCCTCTGCTGCAAGTAATCCCCCACTCTCTCTCCCTAGTTCACTCCACTATCCATGATCCTATCCTTTGAATAATGTCAATGAAAGCCTCCCAAATAATCTTTGAACAGTTTTCTAACCTCTTTCCTTAGACACTGTCCAACTTGGCTCCAGTCAACATTCTCTCATACTGCTCATTTCCAGCTGAAATCCCTGCTGGTTCCTTCTTTTCATTCAGTTTTCTCAGTTCCTGATCTCAGTTAATCATCCTCACCTTAAAGAGGAAGCACATTACTCAAAACTGAAAATAAATGGTCAAATCTGGTCAAATTGATACAGTTTTGCACTTGAGTATTGAAGGTGGCTTTATAAAGAAACTTTGAACCCCGGTGGAGATGGATTTGGTAATAAAGTTTTCTTGTTTGTAGATTTTTTTTTAAAGTAAAAGGGAGATGAGGGGCTCAGAGTATGGTTATGAAATGGAACGAATTATTCTTTCTTGAATAGCATCCAGATGTGATTCCAGCTCGCTCGCTCAGTCTGTTTTCATGCTGTGGCTGATATGAGGTCAGAGTTGGCCACCAGTACTGCCAGAGCGAAAGTGGTGAAAAAGCCAAGAGTAGATGCAGAAATGAGAAAAAAAGGGGAGGGGGTTGATTTTGAAGAGGAAAAACAGACAAAGGAGGCTGAATAATGAAAACCATGGCACTTCAACATCTGCACATCTCTCCTCGCAGCCTCAGAGAGCGATTCAACTGAGAGTTACTGCTGTGAAGAAGTCACTGTATACCATCCACAGCTGGTTCACATTAACAAAGGGCAATTTGTCACCTTCAGCTGGATTCCAGCCACACACATACACACACACGTACACACACACTCTCTGTGAACTCTCCCCCCATCCTTAAGCAGGTCTTCCCTGTTGTCCAAAAACCACATGACAAAGGGTGCACTCGTGGCTCACACTTTCATTTCTCCAACACCGTCGCTCTGTGGAGGAAAACCAACATTGCACTGAACTTTACAGGCTGAGCCAAGAAAGTAAAACAACCAGAAATCCTCCATCTTTATTAAACAACACAAAGCTGGTTAGTGCCCCCTGGTTTACCCCCTTAAGCTTTAAGGATGTTAATGTTAAACCTTCATAAAATACAGCTCTGAACGCCCCTTTATTAGTGCTCAGGTCCTTTAAATTTCTGAGTCAGTTTCCAGAAATATAGATCACAACGTTTTGGGGAAGTGGCTTCATAAGAAACAGGAAACCCAACACTCAAGGTTGTGTGGCAAGAAAACTGAGAAACAGAGTAGATTGAGGAACAACTTCCACAATAAAGACGGCAAACATACTCCGAAAGCCTCTAAAAGTCACAATATGGGACCCCGAAACTTTCTGCATTTTTTGGTGACGTGGACCTGTGTATTTTTCTTTTCCTGTCCCTCTGTCTGCTCAGGACAGGATACACCAAGTAAGCTGACTGATGTGTACTTTACCTCAAACTGTGGATTGAGATATGGGTTTCAGTAGTGTAGTGGCCTAAGGACGGTAACAGTGTGTTTGATCTTGTTTTTCAGCATTAAGTGAATGTTCAGGGTTCCGATTTCTTGATTTTCTGTTCTGATAAATCAAAGTGTTACATTTTCAGAGACATTGAAGAGGTAATAACATCAGATTCACTCTGAGAAGCACAGAGAATTTCTATGTGTTTGATACATAATTAAGTGTAGACTTTGACTTTATTTTTCTCTCAGTGAAACCACCTCTTGTTCCATCTCAGATGTTGACTACTGTGTGTCTCCTCACAGAAATACGCCTGGAGAGGACAGTCTTTGTGGCTGTCAGGGGTGATACTGTCATCATTGAAGCTGACTTGCAGATTCCAGCAAACCAAAGTAGAGACGTGTTCAAGTGCTTTGATCCTTCAGACCAAAAGATTGACTTCCGTGAAATCGATGCCACAGCTAACCAGCCTGTTAAGCTGAAACTGGAGTTCCCAAACATGACCAGCTCTGGAGAATACTGTTGCCAGTATAACATAGCAAAGGTGTACTGGTTCCTTCGACTGAGAGGTGGGTAACGAACTAATTAGGAGACGAAAGTGAAAATGCAGAAACCAGATTTTTGGAGGAAATGGCGGAAATGTTTTCTCTGTGAACTGTGAACTTCATCTCATCATTATGCAAAAAAGTTGGATCAGCTGATCCCAAAGAATTTAAGGAGTCCAAACTTCTTTGCTGCTTTTTAGTACAGACTTCCAACTTCTGTCAACAAGATGCTGTGATACCATCCAAAATTAAAATAACAGAAGCATTTAAAGGATTAAAACACCTGACCATTATTGATTATCTATGGCGTATTTGTCAGAGCCAAATACATTATATATATAGACAGACTGAAACAGTTATCAGATCCAGCTATCTCAGTGTTTATGGCAGATGTGAATGTACAACAACTACCCATAGAGGCTATAGACAGATAGATAGATAGATAGATAGATAGATAGATAGATAGATAGATAGATAGATAGATAGATAGATAGATAGATAGATAGATAGATAGATAGATAGATAGATAGATAGATAGATAGATAGATAGATAGTTAACTCATGATTTACATGTTGCTACTCAGGTCTCTTGTCAGTCATAACATATAGTAGGTCTCATAAATCCACTCTTGCGTCTATATCTGGTCAGTTTTGTCTTAAAAAATTAAGATGATTGAGACCAAAATCCAAATTTGATGTTTTAATACATGAGGGATGAGGAACTTTCTGCGATTTCAGTTTGGGGCAGAAACAACCAATAGTTTTTGTATCTTCAAAACCATTTTTGGACTCACCATCAATAGTTCTGTAACACCCTTGATAAAAGATTTAAACTATTTGCCTGTGTTAGTAGTTTTATAGCCATGTTGTTTACATCCTGTTAAATGTGAGTTTTTATGTTGTACGGACCATATTATCATTGCCTATCAAGCTAACGCATGTATGTTTTTATTCAAATGAATCATAGTGAAATATCATACTATCCCAAAGGTCTTTGCCATTAATTGAGATTTGACTGAAAAATTATGAACATCTCTCAAAAAGAAGAAAAGTGACAATTAAAGGAAAATCTCTGAGCTTATTTAGAGAGAAATTAAATGTGTTTCTGAACCAGAATTAAGTTATTTTGGTTGTTTTTTTTTTTTCCTACTCAGTACAGCAACCTAAAGACTCAGGGGATGTATTTGGACCATGAGTCCAAAATAGATTGATGTTGACGGAGAGCTCACTTGATTCCTGACTTTTGAAATATGAATCTAAAGTATTTTTCAGGCAGGAGAAAACTTATCTGACAGATGAGGAATTCACCAGCTGCTCGAGTCTGATACATTCCTGAATGGAGTGACTCTGAATTGACGTGTGTTTTCCAGATAAAGGCTACACTGAACCCATCACCTGGAATCACACAGAAGTCATAGTGGCTATCTTCACTGGTGTGCTGCTGGTTTTCAGTTTGGCCGGCTCTGTGTATGTCTTCAGAGGAAATTGGGTAAGATATGACCTTCTGACAACCTAGCAGAAGTCAAGAAATGTAGTGTCCAAGTTTGAGAAAAATGCTGAAACAGAAGTGACGAGATGATGATGTAGATCTCTTTCTGATGCTTCAACTGAAGCTGTTAACTAACCCAAATATCTGACCAGCAAGTGAGGTGCTGTCGAATGTTGTTTTTATCTTGATTAACGGCTTAAGTTTAAGAGCTTATCGTGACTAATCACATTTTTTATTTCATGGTTAAAAAATTCCAGCACAGTTTTTACAAACAAAGAAAAACAGTATTTACCAGTGTCTTCATTTAAAGGTCAAATCAGTGCAAAGAAATGTACTCTGTGACCGTAAATTCTATATTAATTGTATAATAAATGTTGCACTGCCACACAAGTGCGATCTATACCCTTGACTAATAGGTCAGAAACAGGTCTTGAGTGTCGTCTGTGATGATTTACACTCTCCAAAATGGTGCTCAGCTGGCTTATGTGATGTTGTTTCCCACTGACTTGAGTCTGATTAGTTTGTGGGTGGTGGCTCAGACTTAAAGCACTTGGGTGATACTTTAATTCTGTTTGGCACCAAATGTGTATTCCTTTAAACTTGTCAGCTGAGTCATCTTGGAGTTTTTAAAGGGAAATATGACATTCAAAAGCTCAGAGATGTCATTATTTCCCTTCACAGCAACAGTAAGAAGATGGAGCAGGGGGCTTAACTACAATGTGTTAAAGGTGACTAAATAGCATGTGGTTAGAAAAGACTGAAGCATTAATCCAAGACCATGATGCTTCAATCTTTTCTAACCACATGCTAGACCGTGATGCTTTAACACTGACAGCTCAAGTTCTAAGTTGGTAAAAAGGAACTAGACACTTTGGTAATTACTTTTTATTCTCACTTTCTTTTGTTGTGTTTCCTGTTGAGCATCCAAGGTGTGCCTGTTTGTTTGCTGTCAGCTACTGTTGCTGTTTTTTGTTCTTTTAAGCATTATGTGTTGATTTCAGAAAGGACACATCACTGATTGTCGTGACCCAGGCACAAAACCCGAGCAGAATGGAGACCAAAGGAGGGCAGAGGAGAGGCAGGAAGACAATGTGGATGATGTCACTGATCCATCTACTTCCTTTTACGCTGTGAGCACAGTTTTACCCTTCAGCACTGAGACACATATTTCACTTCCATTTTTTGGACTATATTGTGGTTAACCTTTATTGGTATTTGGATATGTTATGGAAACTAACACAGAATTTTCTCAGAGTCTAGAGTGTCGGCCCAGGTCTATTTATGATGTTCTGGATCGCTCTGCTGTCAGAGAAGAACCAGACCCAGGCAAAGCTAAAACCAAGAAAAAGGAACCCAAACAAACGGTCAGAATAAACCTCAGGTCTGCCGTCATACTTTTGGAAATCAAGGGGAAAATATGCAGACTTTAACTTTGTTTTCTTCTCCCTCTGCAGGTGGAGCAAACCACACAAAACCAGAATGATGGTGTATTTGAGTCTGTCTATGAAAATTTTTAAATAACAAATAAACTTGATTGAATTGGTCATGATATTTATTTCAGTAAGGGGTTTTTAAATAGTCAACTGTAACTTTGATAGAAAAGTATTTTAATGGTTTTATGTAGACAGAAAGGCCTTGAAGGGATATTCCAGCATAAAATTAATTTAGGGTCAAACACACCGTAACACAGAGTTAGACACCCTGTCGAGAGATGAATGTTGCCGACCGCTTGCTTCTCTAGTTATACCAACTCAACGAGGTGTCTAACTTGGTGTTAGGGTGTGTTTCACCCTAACTTTATTTTGCGCTGGAATATCCCTTTAATGTTACAGTTTCACTGTGTTATTCTTTTTTGCACAAGTCAAAATGTGACCAGAATTTGAAGTTAAAGCTAGTTTCAAATAATAGCCTATATTTACTGTTACAGGGTTTAATTTACTCTTTAACAAATCTATTATATATTTTCCCGAAATGTGAATCTTTAAAGATAGGATGCAAAAATATTTGAATTATGTAAACTGCTCTATGAAAAATAAAAAAGACTATTTTCCTGTGTAATTTCTGTTGTATGAGTACTTTTTTTTCTTTTTTTTTTTTCTTTTAAAACTTTTTAAAATTATTTTTAATTTATTGTATTTTTATTTTTTGTTTTTTATTTCTGTTGTAAGAGTACTTTTTCTAATTTATTTATTTATTTATTTATTTATTTATTTTTTAAACTTTTTTAAATTATTTGTTTTTCTTTTCTTTTCTTTTCTTTTCTTTTTTTTTTTTTATGAGTACAAATTCTGGACCGCTGTCACGTGCGTTTGCGATCCTAAACTCCGCCCACCCTCCTTCATTGACCAATGTGAGCGCGGGATTTTTAGCTTCTGTCCGTCACACACTTCCGGGTGGGTTTGTTGTATTTTTCTGCATCGACCATGGCTGCAGAGAGCGACTTTTTGGCGAGATACCGCGTCGTTTCAAATAAACTGAAAAAGTAAGACACGTTTTGATGCATCGTCTGAAGTAGGAACATGATTAGTTTTCAGAGTCATCCTGTTGTTTGGTCATAAACGTTTTAGATCAGCTCAACAGCTTGCTATAAGCTAAGCTAGGCTAACTGTTAGCTTGCAGCTGGTGACACATTCGTACCCCAACAAACCTTCATGAGGATGATAGGAGATGCTTCTTATAGTGGTGGGGGTTTGATTTATTATCATTAAACGTATGAACAGATGTGTCGTGTTTTTTAACAGCTGCTGATAGGGTAAATTTACCCTATAACTCTAAACAAACGGAGTCCTTTGGCGTTTAAATGAAGTAGAAACATTGAAAAAAAATGTTTCTTTCCTCAGACGATTTCTCCGAAAGCCAAATGTTGCAGAGGCGAGTGAGCAGTTTGGTAAGTGACAACTCTGTTTAACCACAAATTATCTGTAAAAAAATTCAAACATCACAAAATAATAGTGACCCCTGTCTTCCTACTCTTTTTTTCATGATCAAGACTAGAAGTTGTGTGTTATGATGTAAATTGTTATGATGTAGTTTGTTACACAGTCTGTTTCTTGCTCCTCACCTCTTTCAGGTCAGCTGGCTAAGGAGCTGAGGCAGCAGGACTGTCTTCAGTATGCTGCTTTCTGTAACCTCGCCATGGCGCGGTGAGTCCACTGCTCCAAGACAAGAGACGCTCTGTGTCCACCTTTGTCGATATTAGTTTTATTTTTGACCTTTTATATTAGAGTTTTCACAATAAATACCAGAATTTTCTTCTCCATATGATTTCTACGGTGGCCAAGAAAAAAAAAAAAAAAAAAAAAATCACAACAGAAGTTACTGATGCAAAGAAACCGAAGCCAGCTACAAGTAAAAAATAATAATAATAAAAAATAACTTACTGCAAAAATAAAATGATGCATATTAATAAAGCCACAACGGAAGTGGGCTGCCGGGGACCAATAATGATGATGCACCGGTGTTTTACGATCTAGGCACATAAGAAGTTAGTGGAAAGGTTATTGTTTAATTTCGCTTTGTGTGCTTTTCAATGTGTCATTTGGTTAGGCCATGAAGAGCTTGAGTCGATATTAAGTTGAACTGGAGGATGCTGGTGTAGTGTAAACTTCAGTTCAACTTCATATCGACTCAGGCTTTTCATGGCCTAACCAAATGAAACATTAAAAAGCACACAAAGCGAAATTAAACAATAGGCTGTACACTTACTTCTTTGCTTGTCTTCTCGCCGTCGTCCTCTGTGCCTAGATCATAAAACACCGGTGCATCATCATTATTGGTCCCCTGCAGCTCACTTCCATTGTGCCTTTTTTTTTGCATCCTTTTATTTTCAAAGTAAGATATTTAAAAAATTTTTATTGCCATTTTTTTTTTGCATCGCCAATTTTCTTGAGGTCGTTAACTTCCATTGTGGCTTTTAAAAAAGTCTTTATCCACTCCGTTCCTTTTTTTATTTGCAGCAGGCTTCGGTTTCTTTTTTTTCTTTGCATTAGTAACTACCGTTGTGACTTCTTTTTTTTGCATTCTTTTTTATTTGCAGCAGTGGCAGTTCTCAGCCACCGTAGATACCAGTAAAAAAATGGTATTCTGTTTGATACCACTGCAACAAAATAGTTACTACAACAAAGTGTCAGTATTTACCAACTTACAAATGAGGAAATTTACTGATTGTGGCTGTGGTGGTGGGCATAGCAGAGACACACAGTCGACTCAGTTGGAATGTATAATTGTATCATTTTCAAAATATCAAATTATTTGTACTATTAAACCATTACGCTGCAATATGATGTCATCCTAATGCACATGAAGAGATGTTTTCCCCAGTTTGGTTTTTAAGTGTTTTACCAGCTTGCACGACCATGTGTAGTTATTCTTCTCTCATACATTAACCACCACATTGAGATAGAAGTGTTGACAATTATCTCAGTGGGAGTCTGCATCTGTCTTGAAGATGCACCTGTTGTTGTTACACATCCTGACTATCTTGACTGCAGGTGTGAGCAGACTCTTTTTAATGCCCCTGGAGAGGCTCTGGCATTAACCGACGCTGCCCGCCTTTTCCTCACATCTGAGAAGGAGAACAGGGCGCTGCAGGCTCCCGGGTTTGATGAGCACCTTCAGGCTGCACTCAACTGCTACAGCTTCGCCATCAAGGTAAACCGTGAATCCAAGCTGGTGACAGTTTTAGCACTTGAAGCAACAGCTGTGCAGTGAGAATTTCTCAGAAATGAAAGCAGAAGTAGTTTGTGGTATTTGTCTTGTGTTTGCAAGTATTATGAAATATGGACTAAATGAAGGAATTTGTTTGCACTAAAAAGACAGTAAGAATATGTTGATGTGGCTCACAGGTGTACATCGAGATGAACCAGCCTGTGATGGCAGCCAGCTTATGTCTAGAACTTGGCAATGCACTCAAGGTAAAACTCAGCCTGTCCTAATAGAATTCTTGATGTTTGTTTATTATTTTGTTAATCTTGGTCAAAAATATTGAAATGATTTGAAATGTTGATCTGAACCATACTTAACAAACAAATCCTGTCAGACATCCTTTACTTTCAGGGGTTGCAGTTGCTTGGATAGTTTCAACATAAGACAGTCTGAGTAAACATACTACATCACAAGCATACAGTTTGCTATTACAATATTCAAAGGGACCTTGGGATTTAAATCATACATGAATACTGGAGTCAGATCAATGGGCAATCACCAGGTATAAGCCATGCAAATACAAACTGATACTATATGTAGAGCATGTTAACATGTGAGAGTAGGGCTGAGCAATAAAACGATAACAATATGTATCAAAAATTAATTTCCCTCAATAGCAGTATATAACATGGTCAATAAGCTTTTTGATAGACCGTATTCTGCCATGTTTTGCTAGTGTGGAGGTATTTTGTTTTTCTGAGGTCGGACATGAAGCAGAGTAACGTGCACTTCAAATTATGTCAAGTATTATGCATTGCAAAAGACATGTTACCAATAAGCACTGTTAAATTTCATTTTTTTATATCGTGATATCGATATTGGCTGATATGAAAAAAGTATATTTTGATAAACTTTTTCCCATGTTGCCCAGCCCTGTGTGAGAGACTAAGCAGCATTGAACTGCTCCTGCACACATGGTTGTGGTTTTGATCTAAGCTTAGACAGTGGTGGCTAGGAATCTTCTTCATCACCTGTAATTATAATGCTGGGGGATTTCAATGATCTACACCTCTCCTCCATAGCATAAAGGGTTTTGTTAATCCAGCCATTACAGCTGCTGAAAATGCACCAGTTCTCAGTAAAATCATGAATATGCCTCTGATATTATTCAGTGGATTAGTGAGACAAATTTCTGTGTTCTTTAGAGAAATCTATGCCATCAGAAGCAGCCCACAGCTACTTGTTTTATAAGACTGGGACTCTCTTGTGGCTTAAATGGAAGCGGGTCGACACAATAAATCATATACAAACTTTTCCTTAACCTTTATCTGTGGATTCATCTGAACTCTTCCTGTTGTATCAATAGGAGATGAACAGACCAGGAGAGGCTATTATTCACTACCAGAGGGCTGCAGAGTTACAGACACAGACTCCAATCGAAGCTCTTTTGTCAATGGGAGAAATGGCGACATGTAAAATTCTCACCCGTGAGTCCTATCTGTTCATACAAGCTTGTGTTTCGTGTATGTGTATGGTATTGCATGATCCTCTCTGGTCCCAGCTCGTCTTTCGTGTTTTTTCACAGGTGACTATGACGGTGCTTTGTCAGTGTTCACGGAGATGCAGCTGATGTGTCAGGAGAGAGGACTGCAGCTTCCAGGCACCAGCACACCTGTTGGTGAGGCTTTGTATTTACTGAGAGGCTTTATATGCTTTTTATAATGAAGTGTATGAATGGATCTGTGGAGGTAAAGCAAAAATGATGCAATTCAGAGAAAAGTTGAATGTTAAAACACAATGAAGACATGCAGTTCAAGTTATTCTGTCTCGTTTTATCGAGAATTTTTATACGATTAACTGATTGAGAAACTGGAACAATGAACTTCCTTATACTCTAGACTGTCCTTTAATTTTCTCAAATAGGTGCCTTTCTGGACATCGTGGCAAGATGTGAGATCTCAAGGGTACTGCTGCTGATGCTGCTCGAGGTAAGACCAGTTCTCACAAAAAAAAAACAAAACACATCTTTATCACATTTTTTTTCAAAATGGAAATTTTTCAAATCTAACACTGAAGAAAAACTACTTTAAGTTTGAGTGACAAAACTAGGAATGAAAATAATAAAATTGGTTTCCCAGTTGGCAAAATTTTTCAGTAAGAGAAAAATTGTTAAACCAAAGTAAAAAAAGATTTGCTTTGTTATAGACACTATCATTGCCCAGCTTTCTTGCTTATCCCAGGGCTGTATTCCACAGTAAAATTAATTTAGGGTCAAACACACCGTAACACCGAGTTAGACACCCCCTCGAGAGATGAATGTTGCTGACTGCTTGCTTCTCTAGTTATACTAACTTTAGTAACAACCGCAGGATAGCAAAACACAGCAGTCTGAGGAGCCATAAACAAACCTCAACCAAAGAGACTAAACACAACTCACTTACTCTCTTCCAGCGTTTGACCCTAAATTAATTTTACGGCGGAATATCCCTTTAATTATGCTACAGGGCTGTTGGAAGTCTAATTTCTATAACTACCCATACACCATGCATCACCCCATTTTAAATACATGTACAGGGCAGTATTAGCAAACAGCTATGACATACTGCTTTGTCCTTGGGGCTCACCAAGAAAGGCAGGAAACACAACATATACTAGAGGGTAAAAGTTTACTCTTAGTGAAATAGTTTTCTGATTGTTTGCAACAAATCAGATTTTTTTATTTTTTTTTTATCTAAATAGGAAGTTTGGCAGCATTTCATGGACACTTGTGATAAAACAATGTTTCCTATGCAAAGTATTTTTACCATAGATACTAAGCAACATGAACACCTTCCAGTTTTTCAGCACAGAACAGCCAGTAACGGGCCATAAAAGTCAATATGCCACAAAGCAGAGCAGTTGCATTCAAAGACGGAAACACCTCCACACCAGCAGTGCAGCAGAAAATATTGCGTTCCCGTTGCCAAGAGTATTGATATTTCCTCTGACTTACTGGTGCAGCAGCGCTTTAATGGTCCATTCTCACTGATTTCCTGTACAGCCTCCGCCTCAGAAGTTGCTACCTGAACATGCCCAGACCCTGGAGAGATATGCATGGGAGTCCTTTGACCCTCACAGCCAAGGTAAAGCATTTAAGTGCAGAGCTTTTTCAAAAGGAAGCATTTATGAATCACGACTTCTCACCGGTCATGTAGATATTGTGTTATGAATCCTTTGAGTGCTGTTTATTTGAAGTGGAGTAATCTTGGCTCTGGTCCTCTCCTTCAGTGACCTTCCTGCCTGAGAATGTTTTCCTGCTCCTGCAGTCAGTCGTGGTGAGTTTCATTACCCACATACTTGTGCGGCTCACAGGATTTCCTGATCCTTCCTGCCTCATACAGGAAAGTGATGGTCCTCGCAGCCTTCACAAAACTTTGATTAACGTGTTGGAGTCTGTCTCTCTTTGCCAATGGATTTTATCTTCTGTTTGTAGTTGTGTGAGTTTCCACTCAATTAAACCTGCCTGTAATGATATTATATTTCGGTTGTTTGTTGTTTATGTGTGACTTTCAGAATGTTTAATACAAAAACAAAAATCTAAAGCAGCTTGTTTGGGATGACGAGGCTTCAGTCATAAGAAAATAAGACTCTTAAAAGTTGCCACGCTCATCTGAATCCTCTGTTATGGTTTTATGTGTGCGCGCTTTATAACAGCAAATCTGTTTTGCAGATGGCGTGTCAGGAGAAAGACACAGAGTCCCTCAAGTCTCTCCAGACTGAGCTATGGTGAGCATCCAAATATGTGAATTCTCATCATGTGTTGGAGATTGAACAGCTCTTTTATTGCTTCTCAATGCCGACTCTCCATATTGATTGTTTCTGATTTTCTTCCCCTCAGGCCTTTTCTGACTGCAGAGCAGAATCATCTTCTCCACCTTGTGGTCCAAGAGCGCATCACACCATCTGGACAAGGCATCTAGTACAGTCCAGTTTTTACTCACTTCCTCTGGGAGCGATACTTTATATAACGGAACATTCCTGTTTCTGACGGGGTCTGTTTTAAGGCCCGAAGACGTGTTGTTTTCAAAAACTCTGTGTTGTAGCTTACACTCAGAATCACGAGATAAATTTACCTCTCATAAGGCATTAATGTATAGATAGAGAAATATTTGAATAGATCTGTGAACGTCTAGATTGTCTTTTAAATTAAAACGTTGTGTGCTATCTAAGTGAAAATGACAGCACCTTTCCTGCTCAGTCCCACAGTGACTGTCGTGGATTTAGTTGATCGTGCTGCAGTCAAGACACAAAGATTGATACATTTGTTTTATTTATAAATGATATGGCTTAAATTCCAATGTAACTAACAAACAAACATAACCTTCTATTGCATAGTTGTAAAATATAGTGACATGAAACACCATAGTCCTCCATCCCTGGTTCACTTTAGATTGACTTGTACAAACAGCATGTACTTTTCTTGTGATAGCAGCCAACTACAGACATAAAATCAAACATGGTTGAAAAAAACACTCAATACAAAATGTTACAAAAATATAATGGTTAAAATATACATAGAATAACAAAGGATACACTAGTCTTCAGTTGTAAAATATGATAACTGATTAAAACTACCTGTACTGAAAATAAAGACTTGTCTTTTCTGATTGTTCAAGTACTACAACAGAGACGCTGTACCTTTTTAAGCTACAGCGTTTTCTCAAATCTTCAACTACGGACACCTGCAGTAGTAACTGTCAGCCGAAAACATGATTTAAAAAAAAAACAGGATCCTGATACTTAAATCTTGGAGCACATGTGCTGAAAATAATCTCTCAAACTGGCCCTTTCTTCTATGGTCATCTCTGTTCAAATCTTTAGAGGCAGCCTCGACAAAGTTTGGTTTTGTCTTTTTTTCTTCCCAAGATTGTAAGGATATTTTTTTTTTTTTAGAAAACACACATTTACACATACAGTGAGCATTTGCACCTTCAACCTGCGGATTAGTTCACTAAAGCTTTTACGCAAAGACGGGAAACATTTTGGCTTGCAGTATGAAAAAGTAGCTAATTTGACTTCAACAGCCCATTTGCAAAGAAATATGAAGCAAATTTCCCTGAAAATTCACTTTTTTGTCATTTTGAGGAAAAGTAACCTGCTAAATAAAATACTTAAATGACTTATAGGTGTACAGATATTATTTTTAAAGTTTTGACTTTGCAGGGCTGGTTGTTTCCCCCTCTTCCTGTTTTTATGCTAAGCTAACTGTCTGCTTCTAACAACCTCAAACCCACAGAGGAATAAATCCTCTAATCCTATTCTTTACAACAAGGTCAGCAGTTAGATTTCTCAAAACTGTGTCATCTATCGGCAGCACTGTGTGAAAACGATTAAAATAATTGAATTAATCAATCATTTCTATGTTTAAGATGCTATTAGAGGTGGCATCCTGCCCAGTACTTTAAAGAAATGATGAGGGGAAACTGTCAAGCATTTCATGTGATGGAATCCTGGACTCAATTTATGGTATCAAAAAAAAACACACGCACAAATGGCTCCTGTTAGCAATTAAACGTCAACCCAACCCACTTTCTTAGCTGCAAATGTAGATCAACAATCTTCTGTTAACCAAATTTTGTAACAAAAATCCTAATGTGTAACCCCGCCCCACCCCCCGCTTCAGAGTGGGAATATGATCCCAGCCCTACCCATTTTCCTCTTCTCTCACTCACTCTTCTTCCGCAGGACGAGGTAGATGATCGCTAGAAGGAAGGTGAGGACAAAAGAGATCCAGGCCAGGACGTAGGAGTGTCCATACCCTCCCTCTGTGTCGTTGGCATGAAGCTCTGCTGTGTAGATGGAGGCTGCTATCATTATACACAAGCCTGTAGGGGAGAGAGGGATTAAGTGGCAGAAAAGAAGTTGTTTTTCTCTATTTTGAGAGCATGCAAATGAACACTGAAAAATCCCAGTTCTACCAGGTACATAATATGATAACGTAAAATTTAGAGTCGATATCCTGTTGCTTGTACTCTTGATAGACAGAAGTACTGCCAAAGCTAAACTGAAAGCGACCAGTATGACACAGTGATTCTACATGGCTGATGGAGCTAAAATCAATTTTTTATTTGCATTTTTAATAATTAGAACATCATACTAAAGCTGATCAATAATCATTTCTAAAACTGAAAGTTATTGATAGTTGATCAACTGAAAATAACTTCAGATTTATTGATAGTTGGAATCAGTTTAACCAAAAATGCCATCGATGGTTCTCATCCTGTCCTCTGCAAGATAACATTTACTGCTGCTCTTTGAACACTTGAAACAATCAGTCTTTATCGTCACTCAGTCTATTGTTATTGTCCCCGATCATAGATAAGATGAATGACAGATAAAATGTCAATCATGGTTTCAAAAGGTTTAATAAAACGTCCTCAAATGTCTAAAACTATTCAGTTCAGTATCATAACAAATAAAGATACTTCTTAAATTTAAAAAACTAGACTAAAAATTTCTAACTTCTCTTGAAATGTTATTAAAAGACTTATTGAATTGTTGGTTTTTTATTCAGCTGTTGAAAACAGTCAACCTCGAGCTTTAGCTTTGACATTTTAACAATTTTGAATTGATAAAACATCATGTAATATGACACATCTCTGCCCCTGTTGTACAACTTGTCAGCACCGCTCACATTCAAAGGAATAGTTTTGTTAAAGCCGCGGTGGAACAATTGTTTTGTACCTCTTCTGATCCACAAAGAAAGATGACTATCGAGGTTGACATTTTAGACTAAACAAAAAGTTTCAGAAGGCTGAATAAACCTGTCAGTAACACACCACTGATTATCAGTCATGTGTCACTGAGGCCCGAGTTTCTTCACTTGAACGAGTCGAACCAGCTGTCTGGTCGTACTGAATCAGAACTGAACTTGAACCTTAATAGCACTCTAGTAGAAATAGCTGACCTGGCTGAAGTCAGTGTTGACATGAAAAGTACATATTTTATCATTAAATGTTGAATTTTATATGTTTCCAATAAAATAATCAAGTTCATGCAAGGACATGTAAGTCTAAAATCCCTGAGGTCTCATGCAGGGTAGAAATGTCTGCTCCTAGTAGAGAGCACATAAATCAATATTTCTTGCAGCTGGAGGTCAGGACGCTCGCCTGCAGGTTACTTACAGGCGATTAGCTGTAAAACGCCGGTGAAGGTGAACCTCTGGCCTTTGGGCAGGGTGAACAGCTGGGCTACAAACACAAACAAGGCCAGGATGGCAAAAACACAGGCCAGCACCGAGGTGGCCTGAACCGCCTGGAGATACTCTGCAGCAGCAGGAGGAAGAACAGACACAACACCCCAGTGAGACGGGTAAGACAAACAACTCAAACAAACAATATTTAATATACTACAATACTAGAATCATATCTTTTTAAGGGTGCTAATCTAGTTCAGATCATGTATGTATCTTGTATGTCTAAATTTTCAGACAGATTAAGTCTTCATAGTGACAGTATTCCCATCTATTAAACAGGTGTTGTATTTATTTACCCTCTGGGTAGTTTTTCAGGTTGGTGTAATGCCAGTCTGAGCCCGTCAGCTCCCACCTGCCCCACAGGTCAGTGGACACTGTGTTAGTGATCCACCAAGCCTGATGACACAAACAAGAAAAGGAAACACAGATAACAAGATCATCGAATGATTGCATCACATGGAAGTGAGTGGTTGTTTTCTTTATCAGTAGTATCAGTGGTATTTGAAGTTGTTTTAAAGGTGTTGACAGATAGTGTCAGTGTGTGTTCTTTTTTAATATTCTGAGTTAGTTTTAAAATGAATGATGTGAATGCTGGTGTTGTTTTTCTTGTTGCTAGACTATAATATTCCTTCTGTGAGCACAAATGAATGTTCATTGGATAAGAAAGTTAAAACAAAAAACTCACATTATCTATGGTTGCCACCAGCAGCAGGATGATGGTGGTGATGTGCAAAACAACGATTCCAGCCAGCACTAACATTGTGGCCTTCTTAACACTGATAACAGGGGAGAGGCGGAAGGATGCACATCATTATTTATTTTCCATGAGCAGACTTACTCACAGACTGTAACACGCATGTGCAAAGAGGAGCATCTATTCTCACTCTCTCTCCCTCTCTCCCTCTCTCTCTCTCACACACACACCCACAAAACCAGAGTTGTCCAAATGAATACTTTCTCAAACAGAAAAAAAAAAGGATTCAGGCTGATGGCTGAGCTGTCACATACAAGTCCAAACCTGTCCCACAGGTCTCGAGGACACATATTTTTAATTTTTAAAATAACATTTATGCTGTTCGATACATCCAACTTTTCTCAGTTTACATGTGCTCTAAATGTTCAGTAGTAGAAGAGAAAAAAAGCTATTTGCAATAAATCTGGAATAAATTACCAATCATTTTGAGCGACATGAAACTCATACCCGCCAGTTTTAGGAGAAAACTTTACAGCCTTCCACTGTTTCCGTCGACAAAAAGGCGCATTTGTTTAGACGGTGTTAGGGCATTCCCAAATGGGTGCCGCTCCGTTACACACACACACAGGCCCTGTACTACAGTCAACAACTTTGAAAAGAGCGCGAGAATACCCCTGCACAGACGAAGACTTTACAAACCTCATTTAAATTAAAAACTCAAATTACTCAAACATCCAAGATTTCGACTCTTCTCTTGGATCAGACAGAGCCGCGCGTCTTTTGAAGAACCTTTTGCCTTTTTTGCGCCTACGGTCATATCTGTACACTTAAGAAAACCGCTCAACCCTTTACTTTTTCTAAACTTTAGACAAAAGAAAAGTCAACATTTACGCGTAAGAGCGTCTCACGATCAAAAATGACAAGTTCGGATCATTTGAACATTGTGTATAAACGTTACCTGAAAGCGCTTTGACGCACGGCCCGGGAGATATTTTGGAATGTGAAACACAGTAGACCCACCCAGCTTTGAATTCACAGCACACACATCACTCTGTTTCCCCTCTCTCTCCATTCCCCCTTTTTCCTCTCACCAAGCCCCACCCAGAAAGTTTACTTTTTTTCTCTCTCTAAATGAAACGGCCAGACTAGCCAAAGGGTTTCAGGTTGCATCCTCCAAACGGTGCGTAAAGAGGATTAAGACTTCAGAAACACAAGGGAATGATACTTTTTACCAGGAAAATGGCCTCAGACGTTGTACTGTTTGTATTCCTCTGTTTTTCTTTTCCTAAGATGGAAGGTTAAAAAGGATTTCTTTCATTTAGTTTCTCACCTCTCTCATTCTTTTGACAAACTGGACACTACAGCCACTTCTGTAGGCGAGTGTGTTTGTCTCTCGTGAATATGAAATCATGTAGGGACAGCAAATGTCTTGCCGAGCAGTGCTAATGTGTCATTTTCTTCTGCCTTCAGACACATTTGCTGGTTCATTATGCACCTATAATGACTTCCCCGAAGATGAGGCATTAAGGAGCAACACAAACACAGGGGCAGAAACACAAGGAGCATCACCGTCTTCCTAAAAAGATGTTACACTCTGATGGAAAACATCCTCAAACACTTACAGAGGGGAATCAAAAGAAGGCCACATTCAGACTCAGCTTTGATTTGTTTATGTGAGAGAAATAAATGACAAATACTGTTTATATTTTTATAAAGCCTAAATTCTGTCATTCAGAGTACCTGCAGTTTATCTTTCTCCTAGTCTCTACTCTCAAGAGATGCAAGACGAATGTGTTTGAGGTGACCTGATGTTCACTCAAAACTCAAGAGGAGAAGCTTTGTCACTAATATGATAAAGTTCAGGCTGAATTTCATAAACAGCTTGTAAAAGCTGAATCAGAAAAAAAACATGTTTGTTTGCAAAAGTGATTGTCCTCATGTGGAGATAGATCACTTCCCTCTGGAGTTTGACATGTTTTAAACCTCAGGATCAAGGTCAGGGTCCATTTTATATCTTTACTAAAAATATATTTATCTTTTTAGGTAGTGAAAAAACTTCAGGGCTCATATGAGGTCCAAAATCAAAATCAAAATGCTCCCTGACTCAATACAGTGGTTCTTTTCAATTCAGGACAGTCTGGAATGATGCCAACATCAATCTAAAAACATGTCACTCTTTTTTTGTTTTTAAGAAAATGGTTTGTAAAGCTATTTTTGAAGCTTATAAGTGCGATTAATTATCTGTTGTTGTGGTTTCTCTGCTTTTCTGGAGGTCGGTAGCCTAAAAAAGTTGATAACACAGGATAGGCTTTTATAAGCAGTCTGCTTCTGCTTTTTCAGTCAATATTCAACACATGATTCTTGATTTAGTGATTTAGTGTGAAATGTCAATATTGTGTACAATATTTGGTGTGGTCATGACTGAATAAACGACTACGACTACTACTACTACTAGGTGAAAAATATAAACTTCAACATACACACCAAATACAGCACACACACGAGTTTAAAAATGAACTTTAAGTCACACATGTACATTTTAAGAAGTCTGTTAGCTTTTAAAACATGTAGGTTTTTACCATCTCAGTTATGAGTTCTTTGTACCTCCACTTTCATTTTTACATCCTCTGTATTTCCATTCGCTTTAATGACACATGCAGTAGCCCGAGCTTTCCCTTGAAATGTCATTTACATAATGTGTGTAAGGACCTTTTACTGGCATTTAAACTTGTTAGTGGGATATAAGACATTAAGTTTTCACTTTGGCTCTTTGCCCTTGGTTAATGGGAACAAGAAATGGAAGATTTAACTGAGTCACTTTTGCATATTTTGACATGTGAACACCGAAGGCTCAAAGGACTACATTCATCTGTAGTTCCTGCAGATAAACACAAACGGAAATATTTGAGAGATACTGTCAAATAACCTTGTTTTTTTTTTAGCTACAGACATATGACACCATGTTATTAGGGGATAACTAGGCAGACAGTGCTTATCCAGTCAAGCCTTTTATCACCTGTGTCAGATGAGCGAAATCTTTAGCCTCCTTATTTCTACAAAGCCGTGGTAGACAGAGGTGGATTGACACCAAGCATGCAAACTGAATTACTGTACTCAGGCATAAAATTAGAGGCACTTAACCTTAATTTGGTGTTTTTTTTCTGAGGCTACTTGCTGCTTCTTATGTGTTAAATTTCAGATTTAAAAAAGTTATTTCAACTCCTTTACATTTACTTTACAAACATGGGATTTTTACATGCATGACACACAATACACACCAGGCTTATAAAAAAAAAGCATTTGTTTGTAATCTCTTGCATCAGCCTAGGGTCAAGATAAGCTAATTCTGTCAGTGAAATGACAGGAAACACAAAGCTTTGTTTATTTGTTTTGGTCATTTTGCATGCAACAGTTCAGCTCCACATACCTGACATTAGTCATCTTTGTTTTCTTTAAGCTTTCTAGTAATTCTGCCCGTTTTTAAGTATTTTTGATTTTAACTATTATGATTTTGGAGGCGTCCCTTTTTGTGACAGTGTTATTGTAACGACAGGTCCGCCTATTTCCATTACTTTACACCTCCACCTGAGTTAACTACAACAATGAAATACTAATTTAATATTAAATCACATAACTTCTGAGTCCACTTATGAGTCAGGTGTATTTGTGATATTTGGGACTTTTATTGTGACAGGCAGAAAATATTACAACCTGCAAAAGAAAAATAACAGTAAAAGAATAAATCCTCTTTTAACAGGACTCAGATTATCTCCTCTTCTGTCTTATCCCTTCCTCAGGCTGTGGTCTCTTACAGGAGGACCACGTGGACTGAGGAAGTCTGAACACTACAATGGCTGCTTTATCCTCCTGGAGGTGGGATGAGAACATGGATGAGAAGAGATACTGTAATTACTTCCTTTGCTTTTTTTTTTTTTACAGACCACTCCCTCCCTGGCTGACAGAACAGATCTACTCAGTGCAACCCTGAAAACACACCAGAATTAAGAATTATACTGACTCTCTCCCACTCAGCTAACCTGTAGTCGGTACAATAACATGAGGCAAGAGTCAAAAGCCAAGTTCACACAGCTAACTGCAGTGAGTGAGAAGGAACGGTACAGTATGTACAGCTACTGTGATTTAAGTTACACAGGAAGTCAAATGTATTTCTTCTGTGGTTTGGCTTGGATCAACACTGAGGGCTATACTCTCATACTGTTGTTTGTGGAGCTTCATCAATGGATAAAACAATCTTCAAACAGGATGCTGTTAAAGCGGCCTTTAAAAACCCCAGAATGTCTTAAAATAACTCTTGGTGAGGGTATTTTCAGAACCCTCACAGACTATGATAATCTGTTTTTAGATTTAGAGGTAACTCCAGTTCTCATCTTTGTTTGGATACACGTGATAGCCTACTTTTTATTTATAATCTTGGTTTTCTTATAAAACAGTTAGAAGATAAACTTTCATTGGTATAGGAGTCATAATGTTGTGGCTTGTTCCCACTGGAGTATTAATCATACTTTTGAATGATCTTCAACAACTATATCATGTTTTTTTTACAGTTCTGAGTGACAGTGGTACTGATAGAGCCAAAATCTCTGTTTTTATGTGCTATAGTGAAGCTGGAGTTGGAGAGCTGAGTTTTTTTAAGGTTTGAGACCAGAGCAGGTGGAAGTACTTTCTCTGGGTCTAAATAAAGGTTACGATTGAAAGCATCTTCCCCTGGTATGTTTACCATATCTTCAGTTAACAGAGAGTGGATGCTTGCTTAGAGTGCTGGTCGTTCTTGAACATCTTTTCTGAGTCACTGAAGTTTTCTATTCTCATCACAACATGTGGGCCTCAGCAAAAAGTTCAACTATGTAGTGGGTGTCCCCTAGAGACTTCATGCAGACTGTTAAAAGAAATCCTGCACGTGACACCTTGGGTTTTCAAATAGCATCAGCAGAAGTGAGACAGTTTTGGGTTTTACTAAAATGTGTCTATTGTAAGTGCTAAGGTCCAGATTTGGTCCAGTAATTCAGTTTCGGCTAAACTCCTGAAAAACAAATCACATTACCCTCGGTCTCAGCTGTACCTAATCAAAGCCAATTATTGAATGTTTGAATGGCTCTGCATTGGACAAGGTTAGCGTACTCATGCAGCATCTCATCTCGAGTATCTCTGAGTCTTACATCCTCCGACCTCAAATCTTTCTTCTAAACTATGTCTTCAATTTCCTCAAATATTTAATCAATTGCAACTGCAAGGCAAAAGGAACTGAAGTACTGAAATAATAATTCTTATACATTTTATTTATAGGTTCCTTTCAGGACACTCAAGATCACCTTACAGAACAATTAAAATGACAATGTTGCATATACAGAAAATATCAAATTGCACAGAATGGAGACCAGCTCAATGAAAGATTTGACTTATATGCATTTCAAAATAAGCTATTTTTCAAAATAAAAGACATGTCAAACATCAGATGCGCATTGAATATTAACTTTTTTGACCAGCTGTTCGCAACCCATCCAGAACCTGTCCACGACCCACTTTTGGGTCGGGACCCACCAGTTGAGAACCACTGCAATAAGAGCCTTTGGAGCAAAGATATGTGTTTACCATGGTTTTAAGTCCATTTAATCTAGTGTTTCAGATACTTAAGTTACAGTCATAAGATTCTAAAATTGAGTCCCATCTTGATACCGGCACTGTGCACATTAAGATATTACAGTAGGCTAAACAAATAAAATGCATCAAGAGAAACTATAATTGATGACAATGATAGTGTTATGTAACTATTTCGTTTTGACTAGACATGAAGGCCAAAAGTTCCTATTATTGCAGACTGTGAGCTTGCATCGTTTTAATTGGTCCATTCTTAATGACCCTTAATTAACCGATATCATGTTCAGGTGACGCCTCTAAGCGAGCGTGAGCAAATCGCATCAACAAACCGGTGATGTCTTGCAAACAGGAAAAGAAACGAACTTCGTTTTTATTAGCAGTTACTGTTCACTTTTGTATAATACAACTAACATACTCGGTAAGTTTAGGGACTTACCAACAACAGGAGTCACACGCCAACTTTTGGGAAAGGAGGACTAAAAATCACCCCGACGCCTACCTGCGGGGTTGGCGCTTGGTTGAATATGTTATCAAGAATCCAGGTCTACGTGAATCTAACCAGCCAGGTATCAAGGAGCTCTTACGGGAATACACAATCTTACCTGAAGGTCCGGTCCCGCGTTTAAGCGCAAACAAGCCGGATGAAATTGACAAGAACTTCGCCTTTGACAGCTCCTCTTGGACAACTGGTCTTGTCAACCCGCAACCAAGGTCTTCGTCCTCGACCTCTGCAGATGGATACCAAGCGGATTTTACAGGTAATATAGCCCACTGTCTGATTGTGTACAAGCTACTGCCCTTATTACCAAAGTGTGCTAACAAAGCAAGCCACTGTATCCATTGTGTGTTGCATAGGCCCTGAGTACTTACAGGATTTTTCCGTAAACATTGCAAGACAAGTCTCTCAATCCCTTTGCCTTGTAACCTTTAGGTTTTAACGGGGTCCAGGGGAAGGTTATGGGTCAACTACTTGACTCCAGTACCCATGTCAGTGGATGGCAAGCTATGAGGCCTCTGGTGCAATGTGATGATGGTGCCATGACTGTCATGGCCCCAGGAGAGGGACTGCCACACCTGTTAGTTGACAGAGGTAAGGTATGTTAGACCATGAAAGTAACTGTGGGGTTTTCAGCTACCACTGTTAATGTTCATTAAGTTAGTTTACTTTGGAGGACGCCAGCATTTAGAACAAGAATAACATGCAGTTTTATAAGCGAGAACCAGAATATAGTTATGTAGTCGATTCTTTCCAAACTAAAATGAGCTGTTCAACATTTTATCTTTTCAGAGGGAGCCTCTCCTATCTCCCCATTCCACTTACCTCCATACTGCGGTTATTCAGTGAGGTCGAGATTGAGCGATCTGGAGATGACTGTGCCTTATGATGCATGTTACATCACAAAGGAGGTATCAGCAGCACTTGTATCATAACTCCACCGGTAGTTCCTTGTTCAGCATCTCCTGAGAAATCTTTTTGGGTATTTTCAGAACGGCAGCTATGTGTTGCCCCTATTGTGGGGGGGCAGCCCACTTAAGGTCTCCTGCCCAGTGCAGATGTCCTCTCCTGCCTCTTTTTCCTCAACCCCAGCTGTCTTCTGCTCCTCATACGGCATGGCAGTGCAGATACTGTTGCAGGAAAGAGGTATACCCATGATTGCAGCCGTAGGTATGTTGACTTTACTTATCAGTTAATGCACTGATTTGTCCCTGACTATAAGTTGTTAATGCTTTTCCAAGACTTTTTTTATTGGGGGCATCAAGTTTTACTCCCCATCCCACAACAACTTTTGTTTCTAAGGATGTAGATTTGTTGTTCAGGTGCAATCTAGTTTTTATGAACTGTTCACATTTTACTTTTTAAAAACAAAGGTATCACAGGCATTACGTTGAAACATCCAAATTCTCCTGATTCATCTTTACATTTCAAAAAATGTTTCTAATTGAATTCTACAGTCCTGAAAATGACCACTAGTTGACTGAATGTAAGATCATGTGTGATCTGCTTTTATAGTGAATGGAGACTGGGGTCCGTTTGTGTCTGCTGAGTGTGCGTACCTCATCCACTCCCATCCTGGTCAGCTTATCTTCTTCATCCCTTACAGTGCTCCCTGCATCACCAGTCGAGTGAGGTTCTTTTTCAAAATTGTTTCACTGGATTTTTGTTTTTAACGGCTAACTTTCACTGATAATATTTTTATGTTGTGGCATTTTCAGGATGGTCTCCATGTCCAGCTATTATTAGATAACCAGGCCTACATCCTCTCCTGTCCAGTCAGTCCTGAGTTTCCTTACGCCCCCGTTTTTCCTTCATCACCTCCTGCGACTCCTGGTGACCCACAGTCACCCTATATCCCAGATCCTGTCAGCCCAGCACCCACCTCGCCCCCACCTCCTACCCCTCCGCCTCCTCAGCCCCCAACCCAGGAGCAGAAGGCTCAGCTTCCTGAATATCCCCACTACCCCTATCCTGGATTCCATTACCAGAAGCTTCCCCAGGTGTTCCCTCCCGGACCGCAACCAGCCCTCCCCCCTCGACCCACCCCTGACAGTCCACCAGGGCCACAGCCCAAATCCCTGCAGGCCCTACATCCCTCTGGGACTGATGAGCAGCTCCACTCTTTCAACTCAAATCAATATCCATCAGAGATGTACCACCCCTATGTCCCATTCTACTACCCAGCGGTGACACCAGCTCCGACTCCTCCAGCTGAAACAACAACATCTACTCCTACTACAGTTCCTCCAGCTACCCAGCCCCCTCAGCCTCCAGCAAACCCATATTACCCTCTTTATTATCCTCACATGCCTTACGATCATGCACCTGTTGTCACACAAGTAACCCAGGAACATGCTACCCCCTCCCCAAGCCCACCATCTCCTGCTCCCACCTCTCCACCAAAACAACCGCAGGGTCCACCACAGTTCCCACTTGAGTCATCATATCCACCAGCTTCTTATAGGTCTCCCTATCATATCCAAGAGTACTTCCACCCAGAACCTGGTGTCGAGGTTCCCTCTACTTCCGCTTCCCCTCAGTCACCACCTCCGACCACCAGACCTATAGACCCCGAACCACCTCTAAGTCCCAGAGCTCCGCCTCCTGCCAAACATAAAGCATTAACTCCTCCACAAGACCCAGCCATCTGTCCCGCTCATAGTCACACAATATGCAACTACTACTATCCCTATCCCTATTATCCCTATTACTATCCTCTTTATCCATCATACTACCCACCTTACCCCCTTGTGTCCCAGTACCCCCAGACTCTACCACCAGGGACAACAGAAAAGCCCTCAATCCCTACCACTACCTCCACAGCTTCTACACCAACTACACCAACCAAGCCTGCTCCACAGACCCCCAATCTTGAGTGTCTGTCAGGGAGGATGGTTGTTTTCCTGCCATTTGCTCATCCTGACTCCATCCAGGTCAGAGGTTAGTGTTAGTGTGAATGAAGAGTTCCTAGTATTTAGAAAGAAGTATGGTTTCTTATTTTCCTGGGCCTTTTTTAAATCATTGAGATGCTTTTGAATTTGTACAATTACTCAGATTTATAATCAGGTGCCTCCAAAACCCACAAAAATTACATCTTTATCACCTGTAACTACTCTTCAATGTTTTGTATTTTGTCCATGTAATCTTAGTCTTTCTCACTGGTTCCAAATGAGCACATATTCCAGTAAACGCGCACTGGTAGCTTCTTGTTGATACCCAGTCTGTGTTTTAAATCAGCTTTAATGGGTTGAACTATTATTATGGAGTCATTAAAATCAATATTGTGTTACAGTTTTTACTTTTACATATATGTCTTACCCACAGAAGCTCAAACAAAGACCTGGTCGTTCCTCCCCAGTGTATCTCCACAGTGTGGATACATGCTGCAGGCGGTCGAGGGCTCGGGGGTTTATCTTCACTCTCCTCTGCCTGCCTGCCACAGCCAGCTACGGGTGAGATCCTTTGATGAGCTTTCGGTAATTGCTTCGCTGTAATCAAGTCCCTTTTTTTCAAGGAAGGATAAGAAGTCGGTTCTCTCAGTAGTTATGTTAAAAACATTCCCTAAAAGTATTAGACATTCGTGTGGTTTATATTAAAATGTTGAAATGAAATACAAAGAGATGTGTAACTGCACAGCCTTATTGACAATCAAATGAGTGTTTATACAGACATGATCTTTGGTCAGCGGGAAGAAATCAATACACAGAGGAAATAGAGACATGGAACCACAGAATCAGTTGATCAGTATTTTTGTCTTCATAAAACTAAAGACAAGAAGAAGAACAGAGTTTAGGTGTTGGTTGGTAAACTGAAATAAAATGATGATTATATTTTACATTATATTGTATAAGTGTTACATAAGTGATGTTGTTGATATGTAGATGGATGGGAATAACACATGAAATGCCTTCATGCAGTAAAACACTGTGACACTAGAGCTTACAGAACTATCTTTGATTTACTGATGCAGGTGGTTTAAACCTCTTGGATTGTTGCCCTGTGGCCATTTATAACAACACTCCAGCTAGTTTATGAAACAGACCAGCAGTTTTTTCCCAATCAAGAGCTCATTTTATGATTAATCCCATATGGACTGTATGCAGCACTTACTCTGCATACATCTTTGCTGGAGTGAGTGCATCATGTTAAACTTGCAGACTATTTTTAAATACAGCAGCTGAACACTGTGTGTGGTGGTTCACACTGACTTTATTGATCTCTCTTTCTTTTCAGACTCCCACCACAACTTCCCTACCGCTGAGGTTTTGGGACCTTTCTCTGGCACAGTACAGGACTGTGGACCTGCAATGCCCTTATCAAACTATCCCTGAAACTCCAGCACCAGCTACTCCATCACCGCTCCCTAAACTACCTGACACCACCGAGAGTAAAGTCGGCCCATCTGTCATCCCAAAGCCCGAGGTCTTCTGCTCCTCCCATCAATTAAATGTGGAGCTCCCCCCTGGTCCCATCTCTGATGTTGTTGTTGGAGGTATGTGCATGTGTGTGCGTGTGGATCATTGTGTATGTATCATGTGTAAATAGTTAGCATCGGCTCTGCATGGGTCCAGTTTAAACACGGTTCAGAGGGCTGCTGTGTGGGTGGGATAACAGGCCTGTTTTTTGTTTGACAGGGTTAAACTTAATTCCATTTGTGCCTTTTTATGTCCTCTTAACCAAAATAATTTACTGTAAGGTTCACTATTAACTTTTACAGATATCAAAGGGAACCAGATGAAGCTTCAAGATGCCCCTAAGCAGTGTGGGTATTTTGCAAGAAAAGGCAAAGATGGCAAAATTCGTTTGAGTCTCCAGTTGCACTCCCGTTGCCACATGAGTGTTCAGGCAAGTATTGACTCAGATTCCACACTGAGTGTGTGACCTTTTGGTATAATTGATCATTTGCTGTCTGCGTCAATTCTCATATAAACATGTTTCTCTAAAAGGGTAAAATGTACATCATCACTGTATACTATATGACAGTAAATGGGAGACGAGAGGCTCAGCTTTCCTGTCCAGTCATCAGCCAAATGTCTGGACAAGGTAGATGGATTTAGTTTTTTGGATTTCTGAGAGACTATTCAGTTAAACAGTTGTTATTTTTTCCCTGTCCATTCAGAGTTATTTTAACTGTGGAGCTGACATTTGTCTCGCTGCCTCTTAGAGTGCAACCTTCTCAGTGAACAGCGTCTCCCCTGCGGACATGGCTCTGTATCTCGGCCTCAGTGCCTCTCCATGGGCTGCTGCTTCAGCAAGCACTCCTCTGCCTGCTACTACCCTATGGACGGTGAGCTGTAGTTGGTGTTCCCCACTGGCATTAACGTGCCACTTAGCTAAGTACAGTTAAGCTGTCCTGTGTTCAGAAATGTAAGCACTACCTCTGCTGGATGTGCCGAAAGGCAGATTCAAGCTGGCAGTGACACAGAGGGTATCAGATATCTTGGGTCTCATTATCAATTTCTGATCCTTTTGTATGTCTGACATTCACATTACTGTGTGTGTGCGTGTTTGTCCTCCTCCAGAGTGCACTATTGACCGTCACTTTGTCTTTTCTGTGCCTGCCTCCCTCACTGAGCCCCCTCTGTCTCCTGCCCTGCTTGTTGCTGCTGGTAACTTCAGCTGCAAACCTCAGAGAGTGACTTCTGACTACGCCTTGTTTAAGATCCCCATGGATGGCTGTGGGACACGCAGAGTGGTAATGAAAAGAAAAAATGACCAAAAAGTAGAGTGGGGCTGCTCATCTGCTGGGGTCGAAGAAGTGTTGGTTTTATTAATTTACTTTACCGAGTCAGTGAATTAACTATCATGCTTGTTTCTGTAGATGGTGGGAAAGACTGCAGTTTACATGGTGGAAGTCATCAACCAGGTTCAGACAGTCAGCCTCAACTATGGAACCATAACAAGGGACTCTCCTGTCAGGTTAAAGTAGCATCTGATTGATTTCTTTTTCACCAAACACATATCAAAATTAAAGTTTTACATTAAAACCAAGGTAAGTTACACCTATAATAGCTGGTTTTCTTGCCCCTTAAGCTCATCCCACATCATTGGTTTATCAAACAAGAAAAGAAGTTGCTTACGTAATATCCAGCAGTTATTAAGAAACATTGTGATCAACCTTCACACATGCACTTCCCTCCTAAAAATTTCCCAGTCCATACCAGAAGTTTACATATGCCGTAAACCCAGAAATGAAAAAAATTCAGATGTATAAAACCATCATTCCCTTTAGGGCATCCCAGCCTCAACACAACATTTGTCAAAAGATGATCAATGCAAAGCATCTTATAAATGAATAAACAAAATTGAATGCAAATGAGCTGGCAGAGTAAAAGTCCTTACTGTGAATCACAGTAACAAAAGAAAAAAAGGCAGTAAAATTAAAGTTGAGGCAAGAAATTGAGGCGTTTGTGAATGATGTGGAGGTCAAAGAGCTCATTTTATACAACAGGAGAGTGACAAATACAAAGAAATCAATGCATTGCTGCAGCGCTCACGTGGTCCTTCAGCAGTGCCACAACATCCAGACACCAATGTTGCCAGATACCAGTGTTTTTATTTTTTTTATATTGTGACCGAGGGTTCAGGTTAATCAGGTGTCTGTTTTTTTTCCCTGAAATCATTTGACAGAGTTTTGGCCTGTAAATATGTTTGATTGGTTCATTTTTTCATGGCCTGCTTGGTCTTTGTTTTGATTTATTAGTCTGTGTTTATTGCTTGGTTTTTGTTTTTGGTTATATAACAACTTTGTGAGAACTGCCTAAGGCTTAACTTCCACACTTTGCTCATTGGCCAAAGTTACAGTACTTTGTAGTGTGGCACTACCAAATGATAAAGTTTGTGGGATGGCCGGCACATTTTCACAGATGGACTAAATTTTGCAGCAGGGTCCACGCATTCTTACATCACACATTTTTTATGTTTGTTTTTGGCCAGCATGTGCATAAAACGGGGTACACCACATTTTAGAACAAAAACACTTGTAGTACACACGGCCCTTATCTTTTTGCAGACTTCCTTGCTAAAGTTGCGAGAGGTTGTAAGTTGAAGTGTGAACACAGCTGTTAGAGGTGGCTTCAGAGTTATCTCTGTCCAAATTATCTCCTGTTAAAAATTAACAAAATCTGTTAAAACAGATGAAGTAGGAATTAACCGAGCTTTTACTGTATACATTTTCTGTAAACTTCCGCATTAGAAAACTCCCAGTGAGCAAAGCCTAACTCTTACAGTCAATCTGATATGGACCATCTATTGAAAACAACTTTATTTAGTAGATGTGTGTGCTGCAGTTCTAAACCTAAAAGAAAATTTCCCTCTAGACCTTCTTACTTGCAATTTGACGCTGAAACATCAAGTGAAGGCCAAATCAATAAATCAATCAATCAATCAATAAAAACAAAAGCACACTTGTAGATTTTTATCGTGTTTCTGGTATTGCTCTCAGGTTGTTGGTGGAGTGCAGGTATATGCCAAATACTGTTCTCAGTGTAAGCTACATGGTCAAAACTCCCACACTTGGACCTGAAGTTCAGACCCAAGGGATGTTTGGAGTCCAGCTCAGGATTGCCAAAGGTCAGTGGTCTGCATACTATGCTAACACCTGCTTTGCATCGAAGAGAAATTATAATTTATTTTGCTGGAGTCCCTTAAATCACTTAAAATGTATGAAAACAATGTTGTTGTGGTTTGAGAATTATTGTGCTTTAATGAAAACACCTCTTTTGATCCAGATGCCATGTACAGCAGCTATTACCCACAGTATCACCAGCCCCTGCAGATGCTGTTGGGGAAACCCCTCTACTTGGAGGTGCGGCTGCTCAACGCCCCAGATCCAAATTTAGTACTGCTGGTTCACTATTGTGTGGCCTACCCCCGCTCTGGCAAAGCTGTGTGGTTGCTACTGTACAATGGGTATGTCCAAGTGTTTCCAGTTTGGAGAAAAAAGTAAAAAAAATTACATTTGCTTAGCTGAGTAAGAGGTTAGTCTAGGATGAACACAAAGCTGGGAAACTCGTGAAACCAGTGTTTTTCACTGGAAACAAATCACAGGGGGAATGTAAAAGTACATTTATAGGAACCATTTGATATCTAACTGGCTAATTCATTGTTACCTCCTAGATGTCCCAACCCCTTGGACCCAGCTCCACAGCAAGCTGTGCTGTTTGATCCTCCACCTCCCTCTCCTCAGGCTCAGACCCGACGCTTCACTATCAGCACTTTCCAGTTCCTACCGGATGGTGAGTTCAAGGACGCAGATGAGGAGGTAAGGATGACAAATATATTTGGAGGTCTAAAAAATTATTTTGAAGACTTCAAACTTAGTAGTATGAGTTTAGTTTTGTTAAATATTTAAACATCTCTCTAGTTTTAGAGAATTTCCCAGTTTGGGATCAATAAAGTCTATCTATCTATCTTTTCTATTTTATCTATCTTATCTAGTTTTAGAGAGTAGTTAAGAAAATTTGTACAGCTCTATTTGTAAGATTAAGTATAAAACTAAAAGTTGTTTTGGCTTTGTATAAGAACTTAAAATCAGGAGAAACTTCTAGACCATCTCCATCCAAAGTAAAACTTACCTACATTTCACGACTAGATAATTAGGTGGGGGGAAAAACACAGGCGGTGTTCAAACAGAGGTCCAAATATGCTTTATGAGTGTTTTGTTACCTTTTGTCACAGCTAGACTTGCTGTTTCTCTTTGTGTGCAGACTTTACACAAAGCTTAGCTACGGGCCTGTTGGCTCAAGCTTCTTAGTTTTTCACGACTCTTAACTTTTGCCAAGAAAAACACAAAACATGCCCCTAATTTGAGTGTTCACCTACAGCTCTATATGTAATGATGTTTTTATATCCGAGTGTTTGCCTGAAGTCCATGTGAATTCGCTTTCTGAGCCTGAATGAAGACAAACTAGTTGTTGTCATAATGGAAGCTCTCTGTCTTAACTGGTCCAAGAATGTGTCTTTTTGTCAGGACAAATACACACCAGTTTTTTTTTTCACTTAGAATAGACACAAAGTCCATGGAAAGCAAAAGCAGTGACAGCTGTATCTCTGAATCTCTTGAGTCAGCGCTTATTACAGAGTGATGTGGGGAGGCCATTGTGCAGACAGCACATTCTGGCTTAATCTCAATTTGCAACAGCTGTTTGTCATAGCAGTTGTCATGCACTCACTCACCCAGTACACTATATCAGACCGTGCTTTAATTCTGCCTCCTTGCAGATCTACTTCATGTGTTCGACCGAAATCTGCTCACCCCGAGATGGGCCTTGTGTCGAGGGATGCTTCGGCCAGTGATGGTAAGAAAAACAAGCTCTCTGTCCTCACATTACCCTCCACACCCTTTTAAATTCTGGACGATCACATGAAAACACCCGTGAATAAGTCCCATTACTACACTCCTGACAGAAAACAGCCTGAGAGCCAGCAGTGGCTGCAGTGCCTCATGACAGCAGGACCATGGTTTAGTAATGAGGAGAGTTTTGAATTATTTATTAAGACTGATCCATTTCCTGTTTTTCAGTTACAACATGGAAGAGGCTTCAAGCTGGTGGGGAGATGATGATCTGGTTAGCAGCGCTGATCTGTTAAACTCATGGTCAGATGATTAAAAGTCACATTTCTGTACCTATATCTGCTACTTTCAGGCATCAGACAACAATAAAAGATCTTAGAGGACACTGTGAGAGTGTTTTTGTTCCTAAATTGGCAGCCACAAGGTTTTACAGCAGGAAGTGGCATGCCATGAAAATGTGGGAGGCAGCATTGTTTACATGAACATTTGGCCTTGGTGGACTGAGCATCAGAGACTCAGTCAAGCTTCAGACTGCGTAGGTTTACAGCAATACTAGTATGGATGTAACGGCGGGATATAAGGAGGGTTTTGCACAAAACCAATGATCCATGGTGAGGGAAATGAAGTATAACACATCAGGACTATCATTGCACAGGAAATGGAGCTTTGGTAATCTTCCCATCCAACCCTGATCTAACACACATAGCCAGATTTAGTTGGTCTGGAGCACCGAGACTAAAATGAGCTTGTGTGCCCCTGTTAACCCTTGCTGTACACTGTGTACAGTGTTACTTTACTGAAATATGACACAGCCCTCAGGTTATTGTGCAGTAATTTAATTACACACAATATGGGATAAGCAGCGTGAGAGTACATAAATGTACGTGTGTCATGAAGTATCAATTCTAGACAAGGTCTTTCGATGGAGAACTGCCAGACTGCAGTCAAGATTGATAGAATAAATGCTCACACTGAAATAGCCACACCAATCAAGTTATTGATAATTGATTACACAAGATCTGATCATTTAAATAAATGATTAGCTTTGCCCTAAGATGAAATGAAAAATAATCACATGCAAACCAGCCCACCTCAAACTAAGAACCCACAGGTGACCTGAACCACAAATAATAAATTGTTTTTTTGTTTTTGATTTTCAGGCTGAGAAGCAGCAGAAACTACAGGAAGTCTCTGCCTGCAGTCAAGAAACAGTGTGAAACAAAACCGACATGAAACATCTGCTCGGTTTTGTTTTTATCTGGTTCAACTGAAAGGCTAAAAAACAAAACTGATGCATTTCGAGATGCTAAATTCAGATTAAATTATCTGTGGACAAACCCAGTATGTCTTCATTCACCCGTTTCCTATTTTTATGCTTAGCTAGACTTGCCATTTTATAACTCTCTTTCAAGTATTTGAGGGTTAAGGGAGTATTATAATTGCTTGCAGACAACTACGGGAAAGCAGGTTTATAACACATGTATGATTGCCCAATTTGAATGAGTTTTCTTTGGCCATTCAGAGAGATTGTTAGGAGAACTAAACAAGTTACAGATGTATTATGGGAGCCAATAATCCTCAGACCGCTGCAAGTCTGTCGACGATTTTTAACCCTAGAACACTATCGCACATGATTTTCATTATGTTGCATTTGTCTGAGTATCATGGGTCACTGGGTAGCATTGCCTTTGACATCTTTGAAGGCGTATTTGTTTCCCTGATCCACAATCTGCTTTTTCCTACAGGCACGTGTTCAGGTGATAGAGGGTAAAATAGGTTTGGGTGGATTTGATAGCTGCATGTAGGGAATAAGGTCAGTAAGAGTGGTCCTGGAATTTGCATGCTATCTTTATTTAGCTCAGTAGTGATGAATAACTATCACAAAAAAGTGATTTTTAAGGGAATTCATGTGGTGATAAGAAATATTTTAGTCAGCTGGTTGTATTTACTCAAAATATGCCATATTTTGGTTCTCTCTCCTGCAGTTGTTATTGTGCCAAGGACCCCAAGTCTTCACCAAGGAAGACTCACAAGAAAAGGAACTAAATTTACAGTTTCTATATATTTCTTTTTTTAGGATTTTTTTGTTCATGAATGCCTAATTTCAGATATTTTGTTGCACATTTTGGTCCCTTTGGACATTGCACAGTTAAAAACAACAACAAAAAAAACTACTTCAATTTGCCATGTATTGTCCTATTTTGATATATTTTGTTTTGCAAGTACAAGTACTCCTTCTAGGTAAAAATCACCCTGCAATAGTGATGGTCTTACTAATTTTAGCGATAGTGTTCTCGGGTTAAAACAATATTTTCCTTCTATTTAAATTTGTTGGAGCAAATTATTTTTGAAGTATTCACATCCCATAGTAGCCTTTGACCACTGGGTGTCATCCAAGCAATAAAAATGCCAGAGGAACATAAGGTACTCCATGCTGCATGACTCACAGCTGGGCTTGTGTGTGAGTGTGAAGACCTTGGCCTGTGTGCTGGTTGTGTAATGAGTTAGGAATGAAATCTTGGTGAGCTGAAGCCCACCCTCTGCTATTCTGTCATGTTTACGACCACAGAATAGAAAGTGGAGAATATGCTCGTTTTAAAAAATATTATCCATTAGATGTAAGAAAAATAAACACGTAAAGGTTTCAGACCCCCTCCTCAGTGAAATGTATGGAGGCACTGCGGCATACTGCGTGTCTGTCTGCAGGCTGCATGGCTGCCTAGTCCAGCGTTCAAACGGAGAGCGGAAGAAAGGAGGAGGGGAATGACTACACCAAGAGAGTAGGAGGAGGAGGAGGAGGGGGGAGGGAGGCAGGGGAGGACAATTTCCTTTCTGTAACACACACGCTACAAGATCACACCGGGAAAACGGAGAGAGGAAAGGAAATAATAGGCGATAGAAAGAAAGAGGGAGAGGGAGAAGGAAACACTGCAGCCTCTTTACCGGTCCGCTGGTTGTTTTTAAAGGGGGACAAGAAATCGTCTTTTCTGTTTAACGGAGTCTTGCGGACTAACATGGGGGGAAGAGAGAGCTCCTGACGAGGATTGACTTTCAGTGAACCTCTGCTCTGTGGTTAATAGACAGGCAGGAAAAAGGCGACAGGGAAGACATGTTGAGGGGCTTTTCGTCTTGAGGTTGCGGTAGGATGTTCATGTTGTGCTCTTAAACCAAAAGGAAAAAAAAGATATAGCAACGAGGGCAGATGGAAATTGGGCGGTAGGATACACTAAGAAGCTATTGTTTTGAACGGTGTGTATTTAATTGGTTTGTTATGTACTGAAAATACGTAGGCCTCTTAAGCAGCCACAGTAAATAAATACACGGTCAGCAGCAGCAAGCAGGGGGGCTACATCGCCGGTAAATTGCCTGCTAATAATTTAAGGGGGCATTTTTGAGCCGCTGTGTTTTGTATTGAGGTTAGAGAAGCGTTCAGCCGTATTTTTGGAAAACCTAACGCAGCGTTCAGAAGACATTTTTTAACCACGGAGCCAAAACATTTCCAGATATTTCAACTCTTTAGGGGGTCATGCGAAAGGCCCAGTAGGAACCTCAGTAAAAGGCGGATTTATCACACTTTTAACCGCATAGACGAATCGTCCACGGGCTTCTTCTTTGAGCACTAAGGTGCCCAGGAGTAGGTCTTATCTCCACTACCAGTTAGCTGAAGAAAAGCAAGAAAACAAAAGATTTTTAAATGTTAATGTCGACCGACGTCGCATCCATCATGCTGCCCGTGTCCCGGGGTCTCATGGACCGGGATAGAGAGCTGGACACCCTGGCAGGCGTACATCCCAACGCGGGCGGCGCTCCTGCAGTTGTCCGCGGCATGAAGCGAGGAGACCCGGAGCCTGACGGTCAGACAGCGGCTGCCCTGGTGGACTCAGCCGGGGCGGAGTGCAAGCGCCCCCGGATCGACGGCTCAGGGGGCATCGGCGAGGTTGGCCAGGTGAGGAGTGAAAAAGAGATGAGCTTTCTTTACATGTCCAAATACAGCAGAACATTCAGCATGGTGCCAGGGGATATTCTAGTGCATGTTATAAAAAATTAAGATGATCTTTAATTTGCTCTTTGATTTTGTTTTGGTTCAGTTTTGTGAGCCAAATCTTCTTACCAACAACTGCAGATTTAACCACTGTTGTAGTTCCAGCAGAAAGGCCCCCCCAATGGTCCACCATATATCATTTGCTATTGAGTGGCCACGACCAGCACTGCAAGATATATGCTACCAGCTCTTTTCCCTACAGCATCTCTACACACTGAATAATGCTAGGATGTACAAATGGCCATTTAAGAGCATTACTGTGGCTGCTACATTACAGCTAATACAATAAATGGAGGTTCAGGTTTGACTACTTTGCTATAGTGAGGTTTTATTACTAAAGTGCTCTATGTCCAAGGGTCTGTTACTTTTATAATTAGCCCTTTAACGCCTATTCGATACATACTTTTATATACTTATATCAAATCAATATGGCCAACAAATAACTAAAAAAACACCTGAATACAGTCCAATAAATGATAAAAGTGTCCCCTGGTAGTTTATTAGTTTCCAAAAACATTTAATGTATTAGTAGTAAGTGAAATAAACATTTCAGCTCCAAAAAAAATGAATTTTCTGGCCATAAGATGTGTTGTCAGGCATTAAAGGGCTACACACCTTTAAACCTCAAAACTCTCTAAACAGAATTGTATTTTTTTACCATATGTAAAGCTCAGACACACTCCCATCAGAGTGGTAGAAATGTAAACAAACTTGACCATTCAGGTAAAATAAAAAAAGAAAAACAACCTTTGCCATCTGGCATTATGGTGGGGGTAACATTAGGGTTGAAATAGAAACTGATATCAGTGTTTGCTTGTCTGATCTTTGGTGGGGGAGGGCTGACATAAGGGGGGTGTTTGAGTCAAAAAAAGAGCTCTGATTTTATTGGGGGGCAGCCTGAAATGTAATCCAATGACTCTGATGCTCATTCTCCTGCTTTTATCAACATTTAGCCTCTGTCATGTTGTGTTTGGGTCATCAGATATAATGGATCCTTTTAACCTCTTTTTTTTTTCCAGGCCAGTTGAATCAATTGGCTGATTTTTAGCCATTGGTGATCAAAAATTGGTGAAATGTTATTGAATAGGGTATCACAGGGGACAGACGGATGCTCTGGACACCATTGTGGTGTAATATGTAGTGTTAAGCACTCTATTGGAAGACTGAAAGCTATTTCCTCGCCATTGAGAGTGCCAGTAATGGAGGTGAAGTGGCCTGTTTTCTCCTGTTTGGAAAACTAAATGGCCGGCTTTACGTCGTCCTGCCGTCCACAAGTGCTGACAGACAGGCTTAGGAAAGTAATGCACTTACAAAAACAGATGTGAGTGGAAGAGTGTTTGTGTGGGGTAGAAAGAGCAGCACAGATCAATAGCTTCAGCCCCTAAAATGTATTGAACGTGAGCTGGCTGGACAGCCCGGAAATGACAGTGGGAGAGATGCCCCCCTCCCCATGCTCTCTCTTTCTCTCAGTTGGTGCAGGAACAGATTTGCCCTATCACTGGCAGTAAAGAGGCTTTGTTTCCAGCTAATGGGATCACATCTTATACTGGAGGGGGCATTATAACCACACTGATCCTGGGATCCTTATCTAAGGCAGAGGATTTATACAACACACATGCACATATGCACACACGCAGTTATGATGGCGATAGAGATCTCAAAGAAACACGTTTCACTGACTGATACATAAGCTGGTCAGTACTGAATGAGTAGCACCTGTTAAAATAGTTTTTTTTTTCACGATAGCAAATATATTATCTTGAACCATAAAGCACCTGTGAGCATTTTTTGGTGGTCACTGGTTACCAAAAGGCTGGGTATGAATCATGATGGCCCTGTATGACCTTCCTGAGCAAACATAAGCGAGCTGATTGTTAATATGCCTGTAACCACTGACACAGGTTAGGTCTTCAATGAGGAGATGGACAGTCCTCTGCTGTAGTGAGTGAAGTATCTTTCTGATGAAAGAACTACCTACAAATGTACAGGAGAGGAGCAGGTTTATGAGTTACACAAAATAAAACTTGCCCTCCAGAGTTTTAAGGAACTGTTTTTGAATTCTGTGGGTAAAACTGTTACTTAGATTAAATGTTAATTCACATTAAAAATAGTGGCCCTTGTATCCTTAACTTTGTTTTGCACTGCTTCAAAAACTGTGAGGTCTTGCCTTACGAATTTCCCCTTGGGGATCTTGTATTATTGTACTGAGGTTATGGAACCTTTAAAATAATAACATACCATTTTCTATTACAGCTTTTTTCTAAGGGACAAATACAATTGACTTCTAAATCCTCAAGTTTGTTTGAACCTCTGACATTATTTTTATGTGGCACCCTATTATTGTTGTAGTAAATTCAGTTGAGTGTCATTCAATTTTCCTATTGTAAGTTGGAGCACTCTGCTGTCAAAGAAACTTGTGATTAAAAAAAAAAAACAGCACAAAAGCACTTCAGGAGAGTTAATCTTTTGAGGAGGGTGAAAGATGAAAAATATAACAGAACCATGGCTCCAATAAATTTCTTTTGCTTGCCCTCCTTTATCATTGATTGGGGAAAAAACACACACACGTACTGCCGGGATTGTGGCAGGAATTGAACTTTGACCTGTAACTGCTGCCAAAACAAAGGGGTGTGGTTCCGCCAAAGATCAGTCATTTACAATCCTCCCTAACAAATGAGATCATTCTTACTGGGCCATTGACACAGCTGTTTTTCACAGGAGCGTGTGAAATCATCACGGTACATGGGTGGAGGAGCTCAAGTGTCAAGTCAGATCTTTAAAGTTTTAGCAGAGCAGCTATGCATGTAGAAATCAATGCAGTTTATGAGTGAGTGCTTGGCTAGCAAGGACGGATAATGCTTACTGTGTGCGTTCAGCAGAGTTCAAATGTTCACGGCTGCTCATAAAAATTAGCTGCTGACCTCCTGGGGCTGACACTCTGCTCATCCAATAGTATGGATTTCACATGAATGCGGAGTCTCTCAGCAGAGTAGAGCTATCCCAATGAAATATTCTCAATCTATTTTGCACGAGGGAAGTCCTGCATTTTCAGGATGGCAAGGATTCAAAATAATGCTCCCCATCTTCAGCCTTAATTTTGGGAAATGTCGAGAGGAAGTTGTCAGCTTGCATATCAATCCCCCATAATGCTGAGCGGCCCATTTTTGTTGTCACTGTGTAGGATCGGGGGCTCTCTTTCAGCAAATGAGGTCTTGCCTGTGGTGACAGCGCAGAGGACAAATGACTTGACTCGGACATTAATGTAGGTGGATCACCCCTCTGTGCTTCCATCTCAGCCCTGGTACTGAAATAGAATGAAAACATCAGCAAGAAAAATGCACTCGCGCTGCCTCCTGTGAATATTTATTTAGTTTTTGAGCTCCTGTTTTTTTTTTTGTGATAAATCATGGCAGATGTCTGAATACTGTTTGAGAGAGAAGCCTGCTGCGTTTTTCTGGCGCCCTGCTCTGGGGCAGAGCTGATATTCTCATTGTCACAAATTAATTTCAGTTAAATGATTCGTAATGCTTTTGATGTTGTTTTTGATTCTTATAGAAAACATGAGGAAATCTTCTACTTCAGGCTCTATAGTAATATTTGTTTGGTTAAGATGTGAATTTGAGGATCTTCTGTCTTCATTCAGAGCTGGTTATACAGCAGGCTAATAGGACTGTTAATGGAAAAATAAACTCATTGGCTATATAGATATATAGATCTAGATCAGGTGTTGTAAGAGCTCTGTGGTCACTTGATTTGTAAAACCACTTCCTTGATTAATTCGTTTTTCCCATATTTCATGATTCCCTGTAAAAGTGTCCAAAAGTGGACAGCATCTAAGAAGAGTGGCTCCACCAACATCAGTCCGCTGAGTCTGTTTCAGCCTCTAGTATCATTTGAATTATGTTGAAACAAAGTTATGTTAAGTCAATAATTATGATGAGCAATTACGTCCTGTAGAAAACAGTAAAATGAAAATGTTGATCTTCAGGATAGGATGTGAAATGAATTGGTGTATTTATGAAGATCATTACATTGGACACCAGTTTGATCATGTTACATGTGATTGGCTGGCTGATACTGCTTTGTGAATGATTCTCACCAGAACTGTCAAGGCAGCTTCCAAAATCCAGTCTGACTTCAGCCAACACCCCCCTGAAAAAGCATGTGTAGGTTTACTGCGGAAAGTCTGAGGGATGTGAAGTACATGGAGGGAAAATAAACTGGAGATCATCCGGCCGACGGTTTGGAGGCTTAGCACATAAGTGCTCTGTGGATGAAATAGATTCACATCCTCCTGAGTGCTGTGCAGCGTGGTAGAATGACTCTCTGAGCGGTGAAATGTAGTCCCTGCTCTACTCCTCCTCAACAGAGCAGCGTGATAGGAATAGACTTGAGTCTTGTGACTAAATTAGGCATCACACACTCAGGAAACAATCACACACACATACCACCACCTGTGGTTTTTAGCAGGGAAAGTAGCAGGGTTCATGAACATTACTGTTGTCTTGTGGAAACATAATCCTAAGGGGAAACGTGGAGGGACGTAACCAAACTCCTTTCCCTATCCCTTTATTATTTTAAGATTTTCTTGCTACAGGATGACTCCCTCCTCCCTCCTCCCTCCACCTCTCATAGTTGTTATTTTTCCCCTCTCCCTCCTCCCTCCTATGCCGTCTGTTGACTTCAAGTCTTTTTGTTACTTCGCTTAGTTGCTCTCCCGGTCTTCCCCTGCGGTCTCTTCTCTTGTTTAGTGCGCCCCATCACCCGTAAAAGAACCACCGTCACCACCCTAATGCCGGGGGAAAATTAGAAAATTAGCCGTGCTTTCTTTGTCGTTTCTTCAGTAAAAGCCCTCAGAAATGTCAGCTCATGCTAACTTGTCATGCATTAGGGAAAGTGCCTTCAGTTTTGTGTTGTCAAGCTCCATGTTAGTGTCTGTGCAGCCTTCATGCAGCTCTCCCTCTCTCATTCCTCTCAGCTCCTTAAGGAAATTAAGCACATGACTCCGCTCATGTATGAGTCATTGTCTTTGCTCCCTCCATCTTTTTTCCTCTTTTTTTCTCTTTCCATGCAGTCCATTTCCTGTTGTATTTCCAGCTCTGGTTCCTCCCCCTAACCTTTCACCATAATATCAATTCCAGATGTGTTTTAACAACACCTCCCCTTCACTCTAAAACTACACACTATCCTTTGAATCTCTTTCAATCTCCTTCTTTTGTAGTTTCGTTTGGATCCTCTTCTTCAGCGTGCTGAGTTTGGAGTTTGGCCCCGCTTTCAAACACAGTTTATGCTTTATTCATGTTATTCAAGCCTCAAAGAGGTGATTCATTATTTAGTGTTTCTACCTCCCAAAGTCAGTTCACTTAGTACATTTTTGGCTCCGAGATGAAACCCCCACAAACTGCACTTCTTGATCCAGAAGATGCTTCCTCCCTCTTTTCTCCTCCTTGAAAGAGCGAGCCTCTGAAATTTGGAAACATTGTGCTCAATTTGGTGAACAGCCGCATGAGGTCTAGAGTTACATGGCTGCAGTATTAATCAAGTAAACTCAAGCTGTGAAGCATGGTGTGTAAAGTGTTCCCCTTGGGGATGGAGCAGATGAGGGACATTGGTTCCACATGAAGGAGAGATGGGGGGAGGACAGAGAGGAGGGAGGAGCAGAGTAGTTTTCTAATCTGGCGATATGAAGCCAAAGAACAGCAAATCTGTTCCCTCCCTTCAAAGCATGTTGTAATTGCTGTGAAAATCTCCCTATTTAATGGAATACATTAGCATAAAAGCTGGGACACAGTTTGTTACTCACTTATTTTCAGCCATAACACTTTATCAGAGAGTGGAGATGTTATTTGTGTTTAATATTTATCTCCAAACAAAAATGAGTTTTCTTATTTCGCTGCCTTGTTTATCTGTAATTAGTCTGCAGATGTATCCCGCATTGCTTTACACAGCCAGAACATTGAAAGCAGTGTGTCAGAGATTTCATCAGGGCTTATGTTGCCGTTTCACTTTCCCGACCTATTTATGGTTTACAAGCCGTGGGTGACATGTACTTCTTTTCAGCCCGAGTCTTCCCATATCTACAAAAGATCTGCTGGATAGGGATGGAAAAAAAAAACAGGGTGAGGTAGAGGGTGGGGTGTGCCACTGCCAGAGGAGTTAATTTGATTAGGAGTCAGAAACACCCAAAGATCTTAAACGTCAAATATCGAGAGATCACAGAGGAGAGTGAATAAGTCATGAGAGAGCGATAAAATTTACATTAAAGCTGCTTGTCATGGCCTTGAGGATTATTGATCATGTATTCAAAAATCTGCTCTCCTCTCTTTCAGAACAATGAACCTTTGACCCTCGGTTACCATGGCTACCCATCTCACAGTCAGGTAAGAACACAAAAAAATAATCATCTCTTCGTGGTATACCTCCTTTTTCCTTGAAGTACGAATGTCCCCTTCAAATGCAGTTCTGGTGTAGCGTGAACGTGGCTGAGTGAAGCTCTCTAAACCACAAGGTGGGGGTGTAGATAATAATTTATCAGTCATGTAGAAGAAGACATGCCTTCATACCCTTCACTCTAAAAAAAAATCATCCTTTGAGTTTGTGAAATAAAATCAGCTTTTCTTCATCTTCATCCTAACCTGACTTGTTTTCTAATTTTCTCATGCTCAATCTGCTTATTCCAGTTTTCTGTCCGTAAAGAAAGACTCACACACACATTTAAAAAAGCAGCTTTGATTAATACGCGTGTGTCATTGAATGTGTGTGTGTGTGTGTGTGTGTGTGTGTGTGTGTGTGTGTGTGTGTGTGTGTGTGTGCAAGGCATCAATCTGTTTACCCTTGTTTGTATTTGTCGTTGATTGTGTTATTAGACTGCTCAGTTTATGTGGTTAATCCTCAGATCATCCTCCCTTCATCCACTCATCCTCTCATGCACTACCCATAATCCCCTCATCCCTTGCTCTCTGTGACGCCCAGCAACCACTGCTTACTTATCTGCACTGTATCTGTCTTAAGCCTTCACTTGTACACCCTTAATTGCCTCGGTCTGTGATATTTTTTCTGCTCGGCTGTGTTTGGTGCTGTTTAGCGGATGTGATAGAAGCCCTGGAAGCCAATTAGCCCGTTTTCATTGCACTGTAAAATGATACAGCTTTGAAGCGTTTCCTTCCTAATGATAATGTTTGAGGAATGAATCATAGAGACTAACGTGTGTGAGAGAGATCTCTGGTTTGGATGTAAAGAAATCAGTTGAGCGGTACTTGAGGGACTCTGAAGTGTGAACTGGCCTCTGACCAGGAGAAAAAAAAAGGCAGAGAGGAAGAAAACAATGCTGGGCAGCAGAGGAGACTCCCACAACACTGAGGTGCTAAACTGTCAGCAGCGGTGTGAGAATGATGTGATCAAAGGCTCCTAAAGGAAGAGCCTGGAGAGCAGCAGAGCTGATGTGTGAAGAAACGGACCGGCCCCTTTACACATAAATCTTCTCTAAAGTCCATATCCCAGGTCTGCATCGAACCAAGAGAGAGTGACGTCTTTTATAATTTGACTCTATAACTTCTTTTCAGCTCTGATGAAATCTTAATATACGTGATCATCCGGTATTATTGGACTCTGACTGAAAAAGCCACGGTTCTCATGGGATATTTGATATTTGGAGGTGATTGTGTGGCAAAGAAAGGATTTTTTTTTAACCATGTGAGTAAGAAGTTTAGGACCACGGTTTGAATGAAGGACACGTCTCCCCTCTCCCCCACAGTTTCTATTTGTTTCTGGGTTTCGAAACAGAATGAACAAACTTTTCTCAGACTAATTAAAAAAATTAAATACTGCTCCTGTTTGCTCTTTATGTCGTAAAGTGGTTTTCATTATATGCCGTCATTTTTCCTTCTGCTGTTTTCTTCTATGCATAACAAACAATGATTATTTGTGTTAAGATGGTTTTGTTATAGTTATAGTTATAGTTAGGGGTCTCCCGATAAAACTTTTTGACTTCCGATACGATACCGATATTGTGTGGCATTCAATATTAACCGATATCGATCCGATATTAGCACAAACTTGTGCATGACAAGTTTTTCAACAAAAAACAATACCGCCACAAAGCCAACATCACTCTTACTCCATGCTACTATGTTAGTACCTTAGTACACACTGTTGTTGTGATCATGTGGGCTCAGCTTGCTAGATCAGGGCTAGATAGAAGTGCCGGAGCGGAGTCTGGAATGGACTGCTTGTATCGGAGTGCTGATATCTGAGATTTTAGATGCAGGCCGATATAATCAGATATTTGTTTTTTTGCCGATATCAGACCGATATCCAATATCAATATCGTATCAGAACACCCCTAGTTACAGTAGTTTTGATATTTTAGCATTTATACTCAGTTAGTGGCTCTCGTTGTTAATAGTTGGGGTAGTTTCATTGTTGCCAGTGGAATCTGTCTTTCCCGTGCAACATTTAAATTGCTAACCCATGCACAAGGGAGTCACAGATGCATGCGTTTATTGGCTGTCATGCTAAGGTTGAGTGCTGCATGAGCTCAGTGAGACCATCATTAAAGACAATGCTAAAGTCATTTTTAAAATAAGGTGTTTATAAACTGCTGTTTTGGGATTAGGGTAGAATAATGTCATATATCTGCAAGGGGAAAGCCGGTAAATTCCCAACTGGTTAGTTGCTTCTTCTTCTTCTTCTTTCTTTTTGTGGTTTTTAGCCGAGCAGGTACCGTGTTTCTCTCTCCTATCACTAAAATAAGAGCTGAAAGACGCTAAAACTCTCTGTACTGAAATGTTGCAGCACATTTATGTAACAAGGTGCTCAAGTCTGAAAGGTGCATGAGAGAGAAAGAGAGGAGAGTGTTCACTTTCTCTCCCAGTGGTGCCAGCAGCCCCAGTTAACTCACCTACATGGAGAAAGAGAGCACAAAAAAGAAAGAGAGAGAGCGAGAGAGAGAGCGAGAGAGAGGAGGGAGGGACTCTGTGACATAAGAGGGAAGCAGAGTGGGAGGGGAAAGTTTGCAGGTGTGACAGTAGAAGAGAGGTAGGAGGGGAGGGAGGCGTCAGGCTATCTGGGTGAGAGAGGAGGAGAACAAGAGGAGGAGGACTGAGAGGAGGAATCAGAGGAGATGAGCAGGCAAGGGCACAGCAGCATAACAGAAGGCTGGGGGTAGAGAGAAGGAGAGATACAGAGAGGAAGGAGCAAGTGGGAGAGGAGAAAAGGAAAAAGTGAGTGGGAGACAGAGAGAGAGGAAAAAAGAAAGGGTGGGGGGGTAGAAAAGAAGGCGAGAGGGAGCAAGCGAGAGAGTGACAGAGACAGAGGCCAGCACGGGGGGGAAGGAGGAGGAGGAGGAAGAAGAGGTGGTTGATCGGGGGAGGGTGAGGTGGGGAGAAGGGTGGGGAAGGGGTTGGCATGGCAGACTGAGCGAGCAGAGCGGGGGCAGAGAGAGGGAGATTTTGAATCTGTGAGACAGACAAGAGAGACAGAGCTGGTGAGGTGACAGAGGCTGGGAGAGAGGGAGAGAGCGAGCGAGGCAGCGTGAGAAGAGGAAAGGAGAGAGAGAGAGAGGAGAGAGAGAGGAGCAGCGACGGCTTGAGTTGTTGCACAGAATATGATGATGGGACTGTACTATCCTTCCGTGTTGTCGGTGAGTATTTATCTTTTCCTATCTTTTCATATCCTCCTCTGTGTACGCTGGGTCTCCTCGCTGAGGATCGGACTCCACTGTACATGAAAACAGGCGTCAGGGCTGGAGCAGCACTGTCATCGAGCATAAAATGTTAATTAACTACGAACAGATGAGGACTCTACTTGACCCCCTTTACTCGAGTGGTCCAGTCAGGGCATTTCAGACTCTCGTTAAGACTCGGCCGTCAGTTTGTTACAAGAGGATGCCAGCAGCGAAAGAACTAGCGTAGAAGGCATAGATGACAGCAAGATAAAGGCTCGGAGATTGTATCGCCACAATTATGCCTGGCTGTGGTGAAACGCACGAGCGGCAGTATATTATTGTACGCTGTTGTTGTTGTGGCATCTGTTCTCCTGCCCAGAGCTAAAAAGCGCACGCAATCTGAACATCAAGAGCCGCAACTGCCAGAAACTCTGCTCTGCCATGTATTATGTATGCTCAGAAGAATCCATGTGAACATACAGTACAGCGTGTAAAGTCTGTAGGGCTGTATGTAACTGTGAAAGTGTGCTGCTTCTGCGGTGAAGTCTTGAGAGATTTCTGAGGCAAAAGAGTGGAAACAGTGAAGGATTAGGGGGAGGAGAGGTAAGTAAGGAAGTCTTTTTTCTTTATTGCCTCTGCAGCTGTCTCTGTACATCGCTCCAGCCTGTGAGCGAAAGGGACAGGTGTCCCCGGAACAGTTGTCTCTGTCTTTTTTTTATTGTCGCTCTCCCTCGCTCTCTCTCTCTCTTTCTCCCTTCTGCATCTTTTCTATTCAGCTAACAACACCTCCTCACTGTAATTTCTGTGTCACACATTTCCCAGACACACGCACACAAACTCAAGCACACAGTGGGCTGCAAAGTTGGTGCATGAAGTGTCACGTTCAAATCATTTCATTTGGTGTGAGTCAGGCTGTGTGTGTGTGTGTGTGTGTGTGTGTGTGTGTGTGTTCCGTCCTGCCTTTGCTTGCGTGTGCTTCTCTTTCAGCTGTACCTTGGATTCCTGCTCTCTTTACTGTTTGACCTCTTTTCTCCCTCCTCTCGCTCTCCCTGGGGCCCTGGCAGCTGTTATCTCAATGTTTTCCTCCAAGAGCCCCTGGAAGAGGGGGATGGGATTTGAAAAAGAGAGAGAATGGGAGCAGGAGAATAGAAAATTGATTTTTAAGGTGACGGGACACCCTCTGGCAGTTGACAGGAAAGCCCGTGGACAGGGAAGCTGAATTCATGCATGGACAGGCAAATTAAAGAAACGGAGAACCACACTGAGATTTGACAATATTGTAGGTCAACTGGAGAGAGCTAGTTTGCTCTGTGACGCAATTTCAGAATGGAGAGCTGACTCTGCAGTTACATTTGTGTGTGTGGGACGCTTTGGAGTTGCCTTATGACAGGAGGAATCATTTTCTGGTGTTCGGTGCTACTGTGTGCTAATATTTTTATCCTCTGCTGCAGGAAAGTTTAAGCAGCATATCAGGTGCAAAAGACTGAAATATTTTCTCAAGCCCCACCTAGGCGTGTGCCCTGAGGCGAGGGAGAGACGCCTACCTGCTGCAAAACTACCCCTCTCACCCACTCGCAGACACACATTACACACAAATACACACATCGCCAGGCTCGCACAAAACTAAAAAAAAAAAAAACTAGCTGTGAGGTTTCACTATCCTCCTCCACCTCCCACCCTTTCCCAAATCTTGTTATTGATTCTTCGCTGGGTTAACAATGTCGGTCGCTTAATGATCCCAATGAGCTGTGTTTCCCTGGCAACTTGCATGACTCATTCATTTTGTGCAGATTGTTAGATGGTGTGAGGCGCGAGGAAACTGTTGACGGGAGAGCCATGTAAGGTAGACACCTTTCACACTATGCCTCTTATAAGAGAGAGAGAGAGAGTTGTGAAATGACCCAAAGCTGCGTTTACAATTATGCCTCTCCAGCAGCTATTTGCATCTCTAATAAGTCACTGCGAGACATCTGCGTGGCCTTTTATTAAAAGAACCTGCCTTTTGAAATAGATAGGGGTAGCCCTTGCTGACTCTGTGCACGGTGCAGTTGACAATGACAACACGGCGCTACAGCTGGCTTGTGTACATTTTTAAAACCACACACTGGACAACTAGACGTGTGTTTGTATTATTGCCTGAGCGCCAAACAAGACTAACTTGTTCATGGTCATACCTAATGTATTTTGGGGGGGAGGCGTGTCCATGTTCGGTAAACACATGCCTGTATGCGAGTTTGTGTGTTCACCTGCACATGTGTTTGTCCTGTGAGCCGTGTGTGTATTTAATGAGGAATAAATGTGGACAATAGTGTCATCATGCCTTTGTGTCGGAGTGTTTATATTTCATAAAAATGCTGCAGGAGCAGGGGACCATTGTCACAGCTAGTTAGGAGATGACAGGGCGAGCTTGTGCGCGTGTTGATATCTCTGCACGCATGCATGATAAAGAGGAGTCTCCCAGATATACGGTGTGAGGAAGTGGAACCGTATGTGAGACCCTACATGGGAAAGGATGGGGTTGTATTGGGAGGGGTTTGTTTGACAAGCAGACACGTTACCCTATAAGGAGATGGAGAAGAGTATGGGAGGAGGTGCCCGGGCATCGCTGGTATCCTGTTGCTATGAAGCAAATGGGCTTGATTGACACATGTGGGGGCGGGACATGTGGAGGGTCCCGTCTGGATTTTATGAAGCGTAAAGAAGCGAAGCAGTCAGCAGAGAGAGTGGGAGGAAAAGGAGAACAGCAGCAAGAGGAGCAGAGGAAAAGCGAGAGGGGGAGGAGGAAGAGTGATGGAGAAGGAAGAGGAGGAGGAGGAGGGGTTGACGTGGGATGGAATAATTTAACAAGAGGGTGTCTCCTGGCTCATCAGTATGCCACAGACATGGCATGAACACTTCTCCAGCTGTTCAGTCAGGGTAACATCAGCACGGAGTCAAAAGCCGAAATTCTGGAGCTCAAACATCTTTTCCAGTCGTTGTGGTTATTTTGCAGGAATGTGAGACGCCGCAACAGCACGAATCACATTTTCCATCAGCAAGTTTGTTGAATTAGGCTGCGGACTAATGGCTCGAGGCCCAATAAAGTAAGATACTGAGATGTCATTATTCATGTGAAATGACCCAGTGTTGCCCTAGTTAGCTCTCAGACATGTTCCTCTCCTCTCCTCCTCCTTGTCCCCTCCTGTAGCGGAGTGAGACTGCTGCAGACAAGTGCATTTTATAACATGCTTCCTCAGACACACTTGCTGCTGCTAACTGACCCGAAAGAAAGCCAGCTACAGCTACTGCTCTGAGTCACTGGCACTGCCTGGCCAACGCATACACTTACACAACCCCTTAATGCCTAACGCCTCAACGCCAAGGGAGCAGAAGCGCATACACACACACACACACGCTGACGCGCACGCATGCACGCTACATGTACACAAACAAAACGTACGCAGACTTGAGTGCTGGCACAAAAACCCGGCTTACAGTTTGTCTACAGGGCAGGCCTTTTGATAAAGCTGACCAAAAAATGCCCCCCAATGTCTCTCCTCTTATGATGCAATCTCTGTGCAGTGAGCAAGAGACCTGAAACTTGCAGGCAGCGGCACACACTATTTTTATGGATAGCAGGCTATCGGGTAGAGAGAACACTGCTGAGATAAAGCTAAAGTAGATCTCCTCTGAAAAGGCCAACCGTGGAACACAAATACAAGGTTGTTTTTGGCTCATATTCCCGTTTCTATTTTGGTCTGGCAGAAGGAGCAGCATCAGCCGGGGTTGTCCGTTCTCCTGCTAGGCTGTGGTCTGTTACTGTGTGCATGAGCCTCAACAATTAAGGGGAGGTTATGACTGATGGCGGTATAGACTCTGGAAGTAGTATTTAACGTCGCAGCCAAGATATCAAAATCTCAAGTACCAAGTGTGTCGTATTAAATCAATCACTATCGTTTTGTCTGAGTTGCATCACAACTTGTCAAGTCCAAGACTGACTCATCTTTGGTTGAGTGAGTTGTGTCATGAGTCATCAATGTTGGGACTCGACTGCGACAACAGTAGAGCATTGATGAACATCTTGAATGCAGAGTGGAAGGGTAGTTTTCCCAACAAAGTTAACTAAAAGTATTTTTTTTTTGGGTTGCCTTTTCTTCTAACGTGCTGTTAGTATTTCTGCAGCAGCTGTTACAGCGGAGCGGCTCAGACTTAGTTTTCCCTCAAGTGTTTTCCTTCTTTCTCTCATTCTTAGGGCTAATGACTCTACAATAGGCAGCTTTCCACCCTGACTCTGAGTGTGGCCTTTTGGATCAGCTGTAAACTCTAAAGCTGTCTTATGAGATCAGAAGCACATTGTAAAAACCGCTTAATTTGAGCAAAACCCATCCTTGAGGCAAAGCAGTGCTTTGAGCTAACCGCTAATGTCACAAGGCTGCCATGCTGATGTGTCGCAGATACAACGTTTACCATCCTGCCATCATAATTAAGCTTGTTGTTTTTGCTAACATTTCATTATTAGGACTTAACAAAAAGACGTGTGGCTGTAAATCAAAGTAAGCAAACATCATGATAATCTATCCTGTGACTGTTAAGATATGTTTCTGATGTATGTACTAGGGCCGGGCAATAAACCGAAAATTTACCGATACTGACGTTTACGACAATAACCAACGTCATCTGCCCATGTCAATATATTCGGTGTCAAAAAAATGAATAAATAAAAGTTGGTTTTGGATGTGTGTAGGTAGGCTATGGTCTCATGTCCCTTTTAAGATGCTGTCCTACTTTGAGGACGTGACTCCACCCCATCCAGTCTGTAACAAAGAAGAAAAGACAGGTGAGGAGATGGAGGACGGTTCAAAAGTTGGAGCGGCTGGAGCGGCAGCTGAAGTAGACAAAGTTAATGTGGGAGTAGTTGTGGAGTAGTTATCGTCCATTTATCATTATCAAGGTGAACTGCTCAATATATCATAATATTGATTTGAGGCCATATCGCCCAGCCCTAGTATGAACCAAACAGTCCACAGAGGAAGCAAAGAAAACCTCCTATGAAGCGTTTCTTGAGAATAACAAATATTTGATATTTAAACTGCTCTTTTTTCCATTTGTACTTTTAGCAGTAATGTTAAAGTGAGGTAAGTTGGCTAGCAACTACAACAAGACTGAGGATGACACTTATGCTGCAAGTGCATTTAGTCTAAAGTTGGCTCTTGAGAACTTCTCAAAAGCTGCCTTGAGAAATGCAATAATGTCTTTTTCTTGCAGTGCCCACTTAAAGGGGTTGGGGTTATGCTGTTAGTGTGGCTGAAGGTATTTAGAAGTGTTACCTCTGAAGTGTAAAATGACTGCAGTCTATCAAACCCTTTGTACTTTCTCTTTTTCATCACCTGACCCAGCCCGACTGATCAGCTTTCCCTTTCTAGTATGACAAGAGCAGGGTTCAGTTTCTTCATCTAGGTTAGCCGGTACCCAGTGACCCTGAATGACTTGCTCCACCCACTATCCTTTTAACCTACGCAGATGAAGTTAGTTTAAGGCCGGGCTGATGCAAGACTGAGCCATCCAGTGTGTCATTAAGCATTTAATGTCTCCTGTGGTCTAGAGTCTGATCTAAACTGAGTAATTTCCTTGTTTTGCTCTCTTTTTCTGTCTCTGAATGTAATATATTCAGGCTGTCTCAGCAGAGGGTTTCAGCTCATGTTCACATTATTACAATCAGTGATGTAACAGTGTGGGTCTCATTTCTTCTCCTCTTAGAGGAAGATGGCTCTTCACATATCAACAATTTTCTATTTTTAAGCATTTGTTCATGAATTAGAGCTGCACATTTACAACTTCTATTAACAGAAATGAAACAGAAAAGGATGGAGGAGTAGTTTTTATATGAATATTCATGTAGACGCTGATATTATATAATCACAAACTCCTGAGTGGCATGAAAAATGTAACAGTCTGTGCAAATATCAAACTCAATACAAGGTATTAAAAAGATTGTGCTGCTGCATGAAGCAGGAAGTCAAGAATGTAAGGGGTGTTATCTCTTGGAGAAATCTTAATGTGGATGCTTGTGGACGAGATTGAAAGAGGTCCATACAGCTGCAGGGTGTAGAGGAGCGGACACAGCTGCTTTTTGAAAAGTTAAACTTGGACTCAGTGGTCAGTAATCTGCGGCTGCACTACTCAAGTGCTGGGCTCTGAAGAAGGAAAACATAGTTTCTGTTTGAATGCCAGGACAGTTGAGAGAGCATTTCTAGGATTTAGGTTTGAGAATAGGCAGGGCAGTTTGTAACCAGGTTTACAGTGTTAGGGATTAATCATAAACATGTATTTACTGTGAGATGTCAGGGGGAGGAGGGAGTGAGATAACAGGCTGGCTGGCTGTCATTACCCTGCTGAGATTACTGCAGTGCTTCAGTCAGAAAAGGTAGAGTTCAAAGGATAAACTACCTCATACCGTTTCTTTTGTTCTGCAGGGAAAACTATGATTAGACTCCATCTGAATACACATACACTTGACATGTTTATTGATGACATATTTGAGCAGCTGTCCAGAGAAGTAAAAAAAGTATTCTTATAAGTAATATATTAGTGGCTGTTGTTTTAATTAATATTGAATCAATTAGGACTGGTCGACTTGTTGGTCGATACGTGCTTAGTCGACCAAAATTCTGATTGACTCGACTCGATTTTTTTCAGCGTCAAATTACAGTCTATGGTTAATTTTATCAGGAGGAACGTACCAAGTGCTAATGGGGGTGTTTCCAGAGCACCCCTGTTTCACAGGTAACACTGTGTCTCAGAATATCCCCCTTGTTTTCACCATTTTGGATTCGCCCAACCCACCGGAGACCGGCTAGAGACAAGAAGATTGAAGAGTGTCCACGTCGATTAACGTCCGGTAGTTTGCAGAGTAATTATTTTTATTTTGAGCGTTTCAACTTTCGTGTGAATTCTCCTCTACCATCCATGTCCTCTACCACCCCGCTGAGCCGCGTCGTCCCCGCCGCAGAAGGGTTCGCCGTCAGAGTCGGACCCCCGATTATTTGGTCGAACATTTCAGGGTTTTAGTCAACCAAGAATGTCTTCGGTTGATTACAGCACTGGAATCAAGTTTGTAGGGGGACACTGTTGGTTGACCTGCACAGAGCCTGCAGGGGACTGTACTTCACACAGGGTTACATTAAAGGGATATTCCGGCGTAATATTAAGTCAAACACACCGTAACACCGAGTTAGATAACCCATCGAGGGGTGAATTTTGCCGACCGTTTGCTTCTCTAGTTATACCAACTTTGGTAACGACCACAGATAGCAATACAGAAAGCCATGCGCTCAACCAAAAAGCCACTCTATAGCCACAAATAATGCTCAGAACGGCACCTATTTTCATCAACAGTACATACAGGGTCCCACCCAGAGTACTAGCCACCAAACATCTTTTTAACTTTGCCTAATTTCTTTAGCAAAGAGACTAAACACAACTCACCTACTCTCTTCCAGCAGCCGCTTGTTTGTAATGGGACCTCTGAGCGGTCCATCGACTGCAGCGGGGTGACGCAGCTCAAGAAAGAAAATTTATGGTCATTACTTTATCATTTCCTTTAAGTAATGATCATCATATTAATCAAGTTGGTATAACTAGAGGAGCAAGCAGTCAGCAACATTCATCTCTCAATGGGGTGTCTGACTCAGTGTTAAAGTGTGTTTGACCCTAACTTAACTTTACTCCAGAATATCCTTTTGAAAGACCTAGTGTGAAAATTAAACAGTATTCAAGCATAAATATAAATTAGTTCCACCTGACAAAATAAATGAAAAAAACTAGTGAAAGTTAGATTATTTGATCTACATGATTTATTCCGGTGACATAATGTGAAATGATGTGAAACCTCTACTTGCAAAAAATTTAAACGATTTGTACTTTGGAAATTTGAAATGAAATGCTTTTCTTTCTAACGTGCGTGTAACACAGGAAAGTAAACTGAAAACAAACAAAACCAATAAGAATATCAAAAAACCACAATCACAATATTCAAGTTAAAAAAAAAGTTTCACTCTATCTACTCTACCGGTGCACAATAAGCACAGTAAGTTGAGCTGCATCTAAGAGTGGTTACTGTTTATGAAACAAAGTTTGCCTCTTTCTGTGTAGTCAACTCAGCTCGGCTGTAGCAGCTCTCATGTCACAATATCGATGTGATCCGTGTCGACCGTGTGCAACCTCTGGTTTGTCACTGAGGCGAGGGGCCAGCTAACGTGTCACAGGTGTGACGCTGAGAAAGGTCAAAAGCTGGGAGACAGATGGTACACACACATTCATACACATACACACACACTTACTTACACACAAACCCTCCCTCCCACACACTTTTAACACTCCCAAAGGGACAGAGATCTATTGTGCAACTCAGATGGGCATCACTGCAGCCTGTTACACACACACATACTCAGACACACACTCACCAAGTCAGTGTATCCAAGCAGACGTCTTGTCAGCATTGAGCCCCTTTAGCGGCTACATCAAATTTAAGTTACTGGGGGAAAAAAAAGATTTAATTTGACTAAAATTAATTATACATTTTGTTTTTGCATTTGCTGCTAAAAGCAACAATCCTCTGAAAGTTAAAAAAAAAAAATCTTTCTGTTATAAAGACGAGAAGAACAAGTGGACGAACAAACACACACGTGAATGAAAATGTAGAAAATGTCTCAGACACAGCAGCCACTTTATGCAGCATGTTTCTGTTAGTTTAATGAACTTGCTGCTGTTGTTAAACTCTGCTTTCAATCAAATTCTTACTCTTATCTTATACATGTATGTAGCACTGGGTAAATAGGATAAATAAACAAGCAGGATGAATATTTAAAATGTTAGAGATCCTCTTTACCTTCATGAGTACTGTCACCAGGTCAAAATACCTTCATGGATTTTCGGCTACTTTACATTATTTAAATTCCCATTCATTCCTTTCACCTGCTAAACAACACACATCTAACAAAAACCAGCACGTGTATAGTCTCAATGTACATGTGATTGTGTTGACGTTCAAGTTTAGCTTATGATAACCTGACTGTAGACTTTTGTATAAATGTAATATGATGCTATCAGTAAACCAAACAAAAAGATTTTTCTCAGTGAGTTGCAGTCTTGGATTGATTGGCTTTTCATTGCTGTCAGAAATAGATCGGATAGAGAGACCCTGTTTGTGGGTTTATCTCGGACAGCTACGGATCAGAGTCAAGCCACACCGCCTCTATCAGTCATCACCTTTTATCGTCGATCCCTCCTTCCCTCTCTCATCCCTGTTGTCTCTCTCCCTCCGCTCTCTAACCATTACCATTTAGGGTATCCATGCCCCACTGCCAACAGCTAGGAATGTGTGTGTGTGTGTGTGCTATTGTCTGTGTTGTGTTTGTGTTTCACTGTGTGTATGTAGGAGCCTGTTCTGTCCTCCTACACACTCTAAATGTTGGTGTAACATTTGGTTATTTTCATGGGGTAATGATGTGCACTAAATACTTAGGCAGGCTTCCTTTTTAACAGTTGGTCTTTGTGTGAGCATTTAGGTGTGTGGGTGTTGTGCGTGTCAAAGGTGATTTGTGTGCAGAGGCGTTTGTGAGTGTGTGTGCAGGCGTTAGACACTCACCATTGTACAACACTCTGAGCATGGAGGCATCTGACCCTCAATAATAGATGTGGCTGCAGTGAATATTTAATGGGCAGGGGGTGTAGATACATGCGCCCATACACACACACACACACGCACAGAGAGATGGAAATATAATATCTATGCTTGTATGACTTTTCGACTGGAGCTCTCAGGAAAATGGTGTCTGTGTGGTTGGGTGATGCTCCCAGTAAAAGATACTGTGGAAGTTCGCCAGCCATCTACTTTATTATTCTCTCCCTTCTTACTCTTCTGCTCTCTTTCTTCCAACAACAGGGCTCTCAGGATAGTGCTGGCGGTCAGGAGGGACTCGTCCCACCACCTTTTTCTGCGTTCCCTCCACCTCCACCACCACCCCCCCAGAACGGCTTGGCCCTGGATTACGGGGGCAGCTTGTACGCAGCGGGGGCCGTCCAGGGCCCTGTGGAAGCTGGTGGAGCGGCGAACAGCGCCGCCAACGCTGCCAACAGCCTCACTGCTCAAGTGAGTGCCAATCTTATCCTCTGTGTTGCAGCCTACATCAGGTCTATGTCTCGAGAGGGCATGAGTGTGGAGGAATGTGTGCTAAGATCGAAATATAGTAAATCTCCTCAGAATAAGCCTCATCACAAAAACATACTGTCCGTACCCGAAAGTCTACTGACTGATGTCAAACACAGAGCTGACCTTTATTTTACTGAAATGATATTCTGTAGAGCTTTTAAATCAAACTGAGTCAAATCTTTCACAATTTTCTATGAGAGGAGATGTGAATCTGGAGTTTTGAATCAGATTTTAAACACTTAGAAGTAGGGATGGGTGATATGGGCTAAAAAATTTATCACAATAAGATTTACCACTCTGGCGAAAACGATAAAAGTCCCAATAAAAAATATTATACTTCCAATCTGTATTTTTTACTTATTCTGTCTTTTACACCAGTTGGAATATTCAAATAAGATACTTAACCACAAGTTTGAGCGGAAGGTTATGGAGAAAACAAATGACATCAAACAAGTCTCAAATGTGAAAACATTTTCAACATTTGTTAAAAACTCTTGTTGGACAGAGTGAACAGCAGCAGATCCACTGTCCAATGTCAGTCATACCTGATTGCGCTAATCTAAGCCCCAATCTTGAAGGAAATCCCTCATGTGGAGCCTCGTTCACTAACAAGCTGCTTAGAAACGTCTTCTTCGTTACCTTCGGCCATGTTTGTTTATTATTCTGCTCTGTCTGGGCTATGGCTGCGAGTCCGTCGCTCTCACTTATGTCATCAACTTGCATTTATCGTATTTATCATGAGATGGCAAATATTTATCATGGAGGATTTTTCTGATGATATATTGTGAACGATAATTTATCACCTATCCCTACTTACAAGTATTTAACAGTATACAGTCCAATGCTCATTATTACTGTTGGAGAGAGATAAGGACTGTCAAAGATGTTAATCTGGAAAAAAAAAGCAAGATTAACAACTTGAACAAAGAATATAGACAGTACAACACCCATTGAGAAAATATCAGTGTCTAAAATAGAGAAACCTTTTTATTTTTTTAAACTTGGACTATAGGTAACCAGTACACTTTTACTCCAGTTAGCTAAATACTGCAGATAAGCAATATCACTGCTCTGATCATGTGCCACATATAATTTTAAAGGTCTCCTCAGTAGGTCATTAAACAGTTTGAGCTTAGTAATACAACTAGAAATACAAATGAAGTTTAAATACTTGAACTCAAACAGGTAGTTTACAGTCTTTGCAGCTTACTCGTCTGAAAGCTCTTTAATGAAGCTGATTTAAAACAGTCACCCAGAGAAACAAAGACTGGACTATATTCACATATTTTTTAAAGGTTTCCTTCATTTATTAGAAAGTTCAAGATCTTTGAGAAGTTGTGGGAGAAATTTGAAATATGATTATTATGCCCCTCTGGGTTGATAATAAGCCAGCAGTGAGAGCAGCTCCAAATCTCAGTGCACCTGGATGTTGTCAGGATTGATATTCACCAGTACATCAGCAAAGCAGTCGATCCTGTTTTACATGTTAATCCTTTATAAGTAATGTTTTTATTATGCTAAATAAGAGGTGTAACTTTTTCTTAATGTGAATCACTCCCTTACTGCACTTTCACAGGTTGCTACTAAATGTTCCAGATTTCCAAACGCAGTCAATGAAACTGACATGACAGAAATTCAAATGAACCCACTGACATTTCAGTTTTGAAAACAGGGACAAAAAAATGTTTCATATTTTCGTGAATATCTTCACCCAAAACCACCTTTTGGGGTTTTTCCATCTTTTTCTATCGATTGTGTCTCCTCTTCTCTTCACTGTCTCTCTGTCTCAGCAGACAGATGGGTCCTCCCAGATTGACGGTCAGTCAGGTGTTGGCTCAGGAGGAGGAGGAGGTGGATCTGTCGGAGATGACTCAGATGGCAAGGGGACCCCGAAACGCCTCCACGTGTCCAACATCCCCTTCCGTTTTCGAGACCCTGACCTTCGGCAAATGTTTGGGGTATGTGGACTGGAATATTACTCTCTTCTTACTCTGCCTTATAACATTACAACAGCCAAGAAATGTTGGTATGACTTAACATTAAGATGTGGAGAATGATGTTTTAAATGATAAATCAAGTCACGTTAGTACTGTGGCCTCAGGTTCCCTTTTTACCCAAAGCTAATATTTCTGTGAAAAGAATCACCTTTTTCTTTTTTTAATATAAACTTAAACTCGAGATGTTTTTCTAACAAAAAGGTTGTTGAAAAGCAGTTGTAAAAATTTGGCCCTGTGCCTTGCTTTTTGTAAGAGAGTAATTCTTGACTGTGGCGCAGAAAAAGAGCAGAGGTGAATTATGGTGTAAGGAAAGACCAGCAGGGCTGGCTCAGTGCCAGTTTATCATGGCTGAACAGTGCTGACACCCTGTGGCCAAATGCAGTACATGATTAGACATGCTTTTCTCAGCCTCTTCATTTTCCTCTTCTTTTTTTCAGCAATTCGGCAAAATCCTCGATGTTGAGATCATTTTCAACGAGAGGGGATCCAAGGTAAGACGTCAGGAACAAAATGGACGTTCAGCAAAATCCAAAAATTAGCTCAGCTTTTCAAGCGATTTCCAACCTCGCCTCACTGCCCCCTCCTTTTTCCTTTTTCCATTTTCCCCTCTCCTCTGCTCACAGGGCTTTGGTTTTGTAACGTTTGAGTCGAGTGCAGATGCAGAGAGGGCCAGGGAGAAGCTTCACGGTACACTGGTGGAAGGACGTAAAATCGAGGTATAACTCACCACCCGTACCCTATTTATTTTTTCAAAGATCTAGTGAGCGTTTTCTCCTCTGTTTCCCCTCCATGTCTTACTATGAGAATGAGTTTGTTCTGGTTGTTTCTGCTTCAGAGGTTTCTGGATGGCTGTATGTGTTTAACTCTAACCCCTCTGGCTTCACTATAGCATGGTGCAGTGGTGCCGCGCACACAGACGTCTCTTTGACAGCACCTCCTGTTGATGTTTATGCCGTCGTTAATGTCGATGTTGTGGGCTGTCCATTGCACCTTGGTCTTACTGCAGTGTGGTTTGCAAAGCATGCTGGGTGGATTGGCTTCACAACAGGCATGGCTGCTGAAAATGTCACTTCGACAAGGTTGCAAACGATATCTGCTTCTATCACAGCATGTAGGAACTTTATTTTTGTTTGTTTTCCTGCACCTTTTCCATAATCACTTCCTCCATGATCCTGATGAGCAGCCATTTTGGGTTTATGGTTGTTTTTATGACCGGAAAGGCAGTTATTTTCTCTCTGAAAAAAAACAAACAGTGCTTGCTTGTGTCCGTCAGAGGTATGTTGCATGAATGGATCATAAGGTCGGGTGTCATCTTGAGATTTTCTTTTAAAAGATGGGAGCCTCTGGGAAGCACTCTTTTATGATTTGGTGTGTAAAGAGTCTGATGCATGTTTAGGGGCATTTTTAAAGGCCAGTTTGTTTATTTGTTTGTTTGTTTTTCTTTTGGAATGAGACTGCAGTAAAGAAGTGTGGTGCCATTTTCAATTCTTCGAGAAATTGATTGTTTAATTTCAGATGTTTGAGATGGATGGTAAAAATAAAAACTGTTTTGTTCACACACACACACACACACACACACACACACACACACACACACCTGCATCCACTACTCTTGGAGAAAAAAAAAAAAAAACCACCAGATCTCATGGAAGTGCATTTTGTTGTCACCTTTTTTTGTGAATTTATCAGCATGAGCTCGGATTTCAGCTGCAAATGGCATCAAGAGATCAAACACACCATGCTTTTGCCATTTGCTCTGACTCTTTGTTTTTGAATCACGCTTTTCTTTTTTAAGTTGTACTTGCGACTAAAGCTCCTCTGCATGGTCTCGAATGTGCTGCACTCTTCTCTGTCCGTGTGTGTGTGTTTAAGTGTGTGAGTATTTGCGTGGGTGTTGAATTAGGAATTAGGAGGGCTGAGAGAGAATGAACTTGTACGTGAATGCAATAGTTAGCTGTCACTCCCTCTCCTCTCCTTTTTTGGTTTCTTTTTCGGTTCTTCTCCATCTCTTTCTTTGTCACCAGGCCAGTCTGTCTGTCTCTCTCTCTCTCTCTCAGTTTGTGTGTCCCCATACGCAACTGCATCTCCGCTGTCCCCCATTTCTCTGTCCATTTCCCTGTCCTGTGATATAGCCAGGTACTCCACAGTTAAGTTTGATTTTTGCGGGATTATTTTTGAGTTATTTGAATAAAATCTGGGAAATAATAACAGCAAGCTTCCTTCCCAAATTCCTGACATTTTATGTTTTCCCATATTTGTTTTCTCTTTAATCAATCTGTGTTTGTAGTGGGTCTTTAGAGGCTGGATTGTTGTAAATGGTTGTAGGTGACTGTTGACACGTGACCTGTGACATCACTTCCTCTCTGCCTCAGGGTGGGGGTTTGCTTGCATTGCCTCGTTTTGTTTGTTTTTTTTTTTTTTTTGTTTTGTTTTGTTTTTTTCTTTTGGTTCATCATTTCTTTCTTACATATATTTTCTCTATTTCCCTGATGATTTTTGTATGTTGTTGTTGTTGTCAGTCTCCACGGTAACTGCTCGCGTGTCCTCACGCCGTTTCCCTGGCAACGGTAAGTTGTGTACACATGGCATCATCTTTGAATGACCCCTCCCCCAACCCCATCTGTCCAAAAAAAAAGAAAAAAAAAAATTTCAAAATAAAATGCACCCAACACCCAAATGAAGGACTCCTTTACTGGAGGGAGCTTGATTGTTTGATTGACAGAACCTGATTGGCTAATCCTGTGATTGATCGGGGAGGTGGTGAATGAAACGATTACGAGATTAGCCAGTGACCGCATGGCATTACAGAGGCCACTTTTATAACTGAATGTACTGCATCTATCTGCAAGTGCAACAACTATAACTACCACTTCTTATGCATTCATTCCAATCACCTCTCTAACTGCATTCAGCATTTAATTCAGAGCTGTATCCTGCATGGTTTACTCTCTCTCTCGTCATCTGTATGACGCCATATAGTACTATGTCATCTCTCTGTGTCATGTGTCAGCCAATAGCTGCATTTCTGCACCTTTAGTGGGACAGCATGCTGAAGCATGAGTGCTCTGTTAGCTTTACTGGAGAGAGGATAATAGTTGTCTGTACATCATGAAGTACTTGATTATCACTCTCTGTATCACTTTGTAGACTGCAGACAGTTGTAGAGGTATGGCTGTTTAGAATTAATATGACTTCAAATTTAAGATTAATATGTCAAAGCTTTTTTCTACCTGAAGCTACTCTGCTAGCATCGAATCCTTTTCAAACAGAGGAAAAACAGCTGTTCAAAAGCCATCCGTAGACCCCCAGCAAAGCAAACTTTTAAAAATCTGGCAGCTTTTTCTTTGTTCTGGTTTCTGTAAAGAGGTGTCCTTGTTTTACTTTTTTGATCAGTTTGGTTCTGGATGGTGTGTGTTGGTTGTTGTGTGCTTCGAGGTCTCTCTGGTGTGCGACACTGATCTGGAATGCCTGGCAGTGTTTCACAACCACGGTTTGATTTGATTTATTTTGAGGAATGATATTTGCATCCCCCATCCTCTCTGTCTTCAGACTTCTGTCACTCTCTTTGTTTATTTATTTTCTCCATTCAGCATTCCTTCATTGTTGCTCACGTACGGTTAGATCCAATATAGGCAAACGGTCAGATGTACTCTGTATGTGTGTGTAGCATCTTGTCGTTTCTGTTTGCTCATTAGAAGATCTGCACATGCGGATGGATTGTTCACTCTCTCTGCCTCTCCTCCTCCTCCTCCTCATGTCTGTGTTTTTCTGTCTCTTCATGTGGACTGGCTCCCCTTCCTGCATCCCTCTATATCTCTGTCTTCTCTCCGTCTTCCCCCTTCCCTCCCCGTCCCCCTTTTTTCTGTATGACGTGTAATTGATTGGGAGGGCTGCCAAACTCTTTTGATTGGTTTCTTGCTGCATCTGATGCTTGCTGATTGGCTAGTTTTGCTCACCTCTGGTGATGTGATGCGCTCTTGATTGGCTGCGTGTAATTTGTGTATGAACTCTTTGATTGATGTTTTTTGCATTGTGTTCTACTGATAAATCTGCCGCTTAATTCACCTTCTTTTCCCCCTTTTTTCAGAGGTAGCAGTGTAATGGTCTTGGATTTCTTTTTGAATGCTTTTGTTCTGAAATATTTTGTTGTTTTCTTTGTTCTGTGTGCCAATGGTTGCATTGTTCTGTGTGCAAACTGCCTGACTACTCACCAGGATCCTTGTTTTCGATGTGTTTCTCCTTCAAAAGAAGTGCATGCATTTTGAATCATTGCTGCTCATCAACAGAATTAACCTCTGTCATAAGTTAAAAAAAAAAAGATATCTTAAATTTAAAGACACCTCAATTTGTCGCACCAAATATTGAACTAAAAAAAAGAAGAAAGATAAACTGAACTGCTTGATTTGGATTTTGAAACATCTGATGACTAGTTAGGACTCATCTCTGAGTAAAACTGGATTGCCTAAGTGTTTAACCGTTTTTTCTGGTGTCCAGGTTAATAACGCCACAGCCAGAGTGATGACGAACAAGAAGATGACCACCCCGTACTCGAACGGAGAGGGCCTCGCTACTCTGCCATATGGTAAATTCAAATTCTGCAAAATGCACCTTATCAAACAACTTGTTTTCAAGGTTAAGATGAGGGTTGTATTGTCATCTCCCCCTGTAGATATACTTTCTTGTCTGTTTTATGCAATGTATAATGAACTCGTATAGATTAAACTAAAAAATTAAAAAAGAAACAAATCTTTTGCCATACTTATGCTGCGTTCGAGTTTCCTCGGAAGTCAGATGTCAGAGCTGAAAATGACGTCACAGTGGAGTTCCAAACGTTTCAGTTACCAAGTCGGAAAAAAGCAAAATCGGAGGTGGAACCAAGATGGCTACATCTATTAACGTTATTTTAGCGCTTGCCTTGTCAGAATATAAGACAAGCGCTAAAATAACTTAAGTAGATGTAGCCATCTTGCTTCAGGCCTCCAATTTTGCTTTTTTTTTTGACTCTGGTTTGACATCATTTTCAGCTCCGACATCTGACTGCCGAGGTAACTCAAACGCAGCATTTTTGTCTCCTGACATCTCTCACCCGACAGGAGTTATTTTCTATTCAACTGACATTTTTGTTTTTTTGTTAGCAGCTAATCAGATCGTACTTTTAAAGCGAACAGTTGCACAAATGATAAGTCTTCAGAGGATCAGAGAGAGGCCATCATATCATTGGCAGAACAATAAAAGTGACAGTGCGGGGTGATAGCTAACAATTTGGAGGGATTTGTAGTGTTAATTTTTGCAACAAGATTTAGAGAAACACATAAGAGGAGAATTTGGGGAATTAAAAAACTCGTAAATTTACTTGAGATATCTTGAATTTCACACTTTAAAAGTGTTTGAAAACTCAGGGGACATACTGAGTTCTAAGATTCTGAATGTGTATTACGGTATTTTAATTTTATTGCCACAATCACCTGTTTCATTATTTTGGGTCATAACAGATAATATGAAGGAAAAGTTCAAGCTTTCTGATTGTTTTAATAATATTTAATGATAATGAACTACCGAAAGACATCCCCCAGCCAGATGAGAAGTCACAAATCTGTATTCTGTAGACGCAGAGGGAAATAGCAGTGAGTGTGTTTAAAACAAAAACAAGTCATAGTAATTTATTTCTGGTAGTTTTCTTTGAAAATGTCGCTAAAATTAATGTTTTTGTCCTTTGTCTCCACTTGTAGCTGGTTGGAAGTTGAGTCCCATGGTTGGAGCCATGTACAGTCCTGAACTCTATACAGGTTTGACGATAATGCTGCTTAGCCTTATACTTTAAAATAATGACTCTCTTAAATCAACTGCTCTTTAATATCAAATATACTCAAGGCTCCTCTTTCCCCTCTTTCTTCTAGTACCGGGATTTCCGTACCCAGCTGCCGCAGCAGCTGCCTCTACTGCCGCCACCTTTCGAGGTGCGCATCTCCGGGGTCGAGCCCGGCCCGTCTACAGTGCAGTCAGGGCAGCTGTGCCACAGCCTGCCATCCCCACCTACCCAGGGTAAACACACACACACACACGCAGTCACACTGATAATCAATAAACTACAGTCCTATAGATGGTAACAGCTACACTTTAGTGCATGTATTCACTTAGTTGAAGGTAAAACATCATAATCGAGCATGTTGTGTGTTTGATATGTTTAAATTGAAATATTGACAGTACTGATTTGCTAAGTGGAAATACCATTTCCTTGTTCCTTGAAATATTAGAGCAAAGTTATTCTCAAATGTGTTAAAATCAAATTAAAGGGCCTAGTTGGCTGCAGTGAAAGTAGTATTTTTATAAAGTTTGTGTATTTCTATACAAAGAGGTGGTATTTTGTCTTGCATGTTGCACGGTGTGTAATAATCTCACCCTTCTTTCTCTTCTCTTTCACAATCTGTTTGGCACCATTTTCTCACATTTCTTTCCCCCCTCATTGTCACTCTTTTTTTTATTATTATTTCCCACAATGCCCACACGGTGGCGCATCACACCCATTTTTTTTTTGTTTGCTTTTGTATCTCCTGTCCACCACCGCTCCTCTGGACTCCCACCTCTTTCTTCCATCCTTCCTTTCTCATCCCTCTCTCTCAGTGTGATGGCCTATCAGGATGGCTTTTACGGTGCGGCTGATCTTTATGTAAGTATAACGTCTGTCTTTCACTGTCTCACTGCTCATCTACGTTTTCCCTCCTCCTGCCTGTGGGTTGACAAGTGTGAAACAGCACAGACCAAACCCATAGAGACGTGTACTTTTGGGTGCTTTGATTCATCACATCTACATAAAACACTTTCACTTAACTCTAAATGTACTTTTTAAAATGTATTTACTTTTAAAAACGCACATTTTACAGCTGTAAAGAAATAAACATATAAAAAGGAAATGAGAACAAACACACACTCGCACATCTCCATCAGATTCATTCACAGGTAGACTCCTCGTGGGTTTGTCTCTGTGTCTTTGTGAGTTAGTTTGTACCAATGTGATTATGAGCATGTGTGTGTCTGTGTGAGCGTGTATGTGTGACCAGGTTGACAATAGCTGTTTCTGTTCTCTCTGTAGACTAGTGTTTCAGGACATTAGTGGCAGATTGCCCCAGGTAGGGTTTACACACTCTGTTTGAGAGCCAGTGTGCATCCTCCTCGTCTCCAATGACTGCGTGCTGCTAGACATTATTGACCATCTGAGATTGAAATGCCTTTTCTGTCTTCTTCTACTAACTCACTGGATTCTGACATGGGTGGAGTTGCGGAAGGGGGAGAAAAATAATTATGTTTAAAACTAAAATATAAATGGGATACCATCTCTATACAATACAAGTGTGTGCAGAAGAAATTGATAAACATGAAAAAGTAAAAGATGCTCTGTTATAGAAAATACCTGCAACACGTTTATTTGTTTGTCTCAGTGTAAATAAAAAGTTTTTTTACATTAGGCATCATTCCTAACTCAGATGTTAATACCCCGCAGTGTTGATTGGTTGTCATATAGATGTAGATATAGATCTCTGTCACACAGTGCTTTTTATTTGGAAACCAGAGGATAAGTCTGAAACTTGCAGAGGTTATGCAAAAAGCAGATGCTAGAATTTTCTTATCGCCCAGATTATTATTATTATTTTTGGTCATTTTTTCAAAATAATCTTTTTCTTAAAATTTGACAAATCATAGACATGACTGAAAACTCATCTTATTAAATCTACACAGGGACGATGAATAAATCATATCTGACTCTGACACCGGAGTCTTCTTCAGCAGACAGAGAGGTGTAGGACAGTTTTATTCAGCACTTCATTCAGACCCCTTCCAGGAATCTCCCTATCTGTTTCACCTGCAGCATGCTAACTGAATCAATGTCGGCATGCAGACAAACTTACAAGGCTGACCCCCCCCTCCCCCTCCCCGTCTCCCTTTTACTCTGTCCCTTCTCTTTTATATCTGTACACATCTTCTTCTTCTTCTCTCTATTCTTATTTTAAAGACAGTATTTTAAAACTGTCCTATTTCTAAATCACTTCAAAGTGTCACCTGGCCCTTCCTCTTCCTCTTCCTCTTATTACTCTCTCTTTAGCTTCTCCTCTCTTCAGGTCTTTCGTCTTTCAGTCGTTCTCGCTCCTTCTCCTCTCTCCCTCTCTAATCCCCCCCCCCCCCCCCATAGCAGCCACTGTGTGGTCCTGAATGCGGGGACTTGGTCGTGACTGATCCTTTAGGGTAGAATGCAGCGGTGTGTGTTTTGTTTTGTTTCGTTGGGTTGTTTGGCCTAATATACTGGACGTTCTCAGTTTGGGAAAGCATGCTTTGTCTCTCAGTGATTGGTCACTGGCCACATGAGCGTGGTGTGTGTGTGTGCGTGTGCTCTTCTTAATCTGACTGGCTGACTATCTTCTTACACCTGTAGATTTTTTTGTGTGTTCATCAGCTGTCCATCCAAACATAAAATAATGACACAATCATCCTGCCACCCCCTCCCCTTTCTTTAACTGTGTTTTTGGGAGGGGAACAGGGGTGGGGCACAGTTATGGGTTTGATCTCTCTCTCTCCCTCCATGTCCAACACTCATTTGACAAAGATAATGCGCTTTAATGTTGTTTACAGTAAAAGATGTCTGCTATGTTGGTCATAGAGGGAGAGACTCCACAGAGCCTGAGCTACATCCTTGTGAATGCCGTACCGCACCAGATTAGCCCAGTTGTGCTGACTGTCTGCTTGTTAATCTTCCGCTCTCTCTCAGCAGTTGTCCTCACAATGTAACCCTTCTAGATTCACTTCTAGTCTGTTAGTGTGCAGAGGAAATAGAGCAAACTCTAAACAAGAATTTATAATTTTGTTTCCGTTTCTTTTCACCTCTCCCTCCATCAAATCTTTCCTCTCTGCTACATCCCCCTCCCTACCCTCCTGCCTCATTACAGGGTGGCTATGCAGCGTATCGTTACGCCCAGCCGACTGCGGTAGCGACTCCTGCAGCAGCAGCAGCCGCAGCAGCAGCATACAGTGACAGGTGAGTGTGCCGTCCAGTTCATCTTCTAACAGGACACTTGCAGAGCGAGGCGACCTGCAATCCTTAAAGGCCCACTCCGATGAAAATCACGTTTTTCTTGTTTTTTATACGTTCATATGGCATTTTTCTGATGCTACAGGACATATCATGAGAAAACTAAATGCAAAATTGGTTTTCTGAGTACTTCTTCATTCAAATCGCTCTGACAGGTTCAGAAACAGTGAGATTTCATACGTAACCACTCCAAGCTCCAACCCCGGAGCACCACTATGCAGGCCCCACTCTGCGTTTAGAGAGGACATAGAGAGGACTATCGCAGAACAAACGCGTGCGTTAACGGATTGCAATGCTCGTAAGAAAGCTAATTATAATATTAGCTTTCATTAAACCCCTAAAGACATCAGTGTCTGAGAGCTGAATAGTTTCTATGTTACCTGCTACTTCTACTACAACGGCAATATTAGGCTGCAAGCTAACCTGAAGACGAGTGTGCAGAGCAGCGCTGTCTCCGCCCACGACTCAGAGGTGAATTGTTAATGATCTACTGGAGCTCTGCAGGAGAAAAGCTCTTGAAAATGACACAGGTAACGCGATTTTTGGTAAAAACTTCACAATCAAAATTTAAAGACCACTGAGAAGACTTAGTAGTAAGTGGTAAAAGTACTAAAAAGTAGTAGTAAAGAAAAAGTACTAAAAAAAAAACAAAAAAACAATCGGAGTGGGACCTTAAGTCTGATTTACAGTGAATTAATGCTTGTGTAAAAACAAAACAGTCTGGGAAAGGTGAGATAAAGGTAAAAGGAGAAGCAAAAGAGACTTAAGCACGATTAATGTAAAATGGCCGAACATGGAGTCTGGGGGTAAACCATGTCACATTGTTTTGTTGTGTAGCGTTGTTTTGAGTGGATATATGTCAGTTTAAACACACACTGTTTTCATTGCTAAATACTGATGAGCCACATTACACTTAAATCCACTTCTACTTAAATCCCTCCTTTTTTTTTTGACAGCTACGGACGAGTGTACACGGCAGACCCTTATCATGCTGCACTCGCTCCGGCCGCCTATGGTGTTGGAGCAATGGTGAGTCCCCAAGGACACTTAGATGATGTGATGTCCCAGATTTGACCATTAGTTAGAGCTGAAGATGAAAAGATGTGAAGATAGGGCGCACTTATCAAATTTCCCCTTGGGGATAAATTAAGTTCTTCTTATCTTAGATTTGAGATTGTGTGACCCAACAAGACAGTAAGAAACATCTAAAGATGATAGATTTGGCAAATGCGAGAACATTTTCAAGGTGCTATTATTAACTTTGCAGTCATTGCTCTCAATATTTACGTCTGTGAAACTTCAGGATTTGAGTAGAGAGGAAAGTCTCTCTTGGTTTCTGAGTTTGTAGTAATAAAACAGATACTACCCGACATGATAGAGGCTCTGAAGATGTTCTTTATCTTTATTTCTGATGTGTTTGAGTCACTAAATCTATGTTTTTGTCGTTCCACAGGCCACGTTGTACAGGGGAGGCTACAGTAGATTTGCCCCTTACTAAAGACACTACATTTCCTAGGAGCTCCTCTCTTCCACTGAATTACTCTGAAAGAGCTCCCTCTGTTGTCGTGGAGGTGGACTGCACCTAGTTTTCGAGTGTGGAGTCGGCCACATCAAAGATATTTCAGATCCCACCCCTGAGCAGTCCCACCTTTTCTTATATACGCTACTACAGAAATAGAGGAATGCTGTGTTAAAGACTGAAAGATTGCCTTTGCGTTAAAAAAAAGGAAAAAAAAAAAAGGCTCAAATGGCCACCTTCCCTATTGCACGGCTGTATTATAGTACCCCTCTTCTTACTCCCTCGGCACTCAGCAGCACAAGACTCAAAATGGGGCCCAGATGTTCTTCCAAAGGCTATGTGGATAACTGGCATTTAAGAGCAAGAGCTGTGTGGCCTGCACACTCTGAAGACAAGAGAGAGGGAAAGAAGCAATCAAAGCCTCCACAAAACGTCAGAGCGGAAAGATGCAGAGCGGTGCATCGTAAGAGCGCCTGAAAACATTTTGAAACAGAGCGATGAGTCACTAAAATGGTTAAAAAACACCCCCAGCTGGATTTTGTTATTCCTCCTTTAAGCGTGGGCGGTTAGTGAAGCGAGAGGAAGCCCATCCGTGGGGTGTACTGAAAGAGGAGACTGAACAAGGTGGCTCGCAGAGATTAAGTGACGGTTCATAACGCTACAGAAATCAAGTGTGAAAGCTAAAGGAGGGAGGTTTATTAGAGCTGTTCCTTACCTCAAGTTTTCTTAGTATGTGGAAATGGTAAACCTTTAAACTTAAAATTGTTATGATATGCAAAGAATTAGTTTAGAGAAAAAAGTTACCAAATTATTATTATTAATATTGTAATTATTCTCATTATTATTCTTACAAGAACATTGTTTTGCTAGATTCAGCAGCCCATGCTGTCATGTAGATCCAACAGAGAACCTCGGGGTTGAAATTGAATCAGAAAAAATGAGCATCTGTACCACAATGAAGTCCAGACTGACACGACTGTAGTCTCACATGTTCCTTCCCATGCACAGGATTTCACTGTGCTCCGTGTAAACACTACAGAAGTTCAACACTACACCTTTAACATTAACCTCTTTATAGATGATTTTTAGCTGTAGACCAAAACTTTAATCTTCCACCTCCAACCCTGAGGTTCAGAAACCTGTTGATCCTTTAACATGGAGATTTATTATTTGGATTTTCTCCTCAGGCTCCATCTTTTTTAGAGCAGCGCCCAACATTGAAAGAGTCTTCCTAAAAACATACCTACGTCGGTGATTGTGTCTGAGATTCTGCCAGTGGCTATTACTGAGCAAAGAGAGAGATTCTGTCCGTGAGTTAATAGAAAATATTTAAATACAAAACACCTTACTATTGTGCATATTTCTATACTGTTGTATTCTATATTTCCAGACCGTGGCTTTTTTGGCTTTTGTTTTTGTTCCAAAGATTTGTAGAAAGCACATCTTTTGCCCTATGTATAAATATATTATCTTTGTTATTGATGTTATCATAATCCTACAGCTGTCTTTACGTACCTTCTTTTTGTACTTCATTTTCCGTTCGTCTTTCCTTTTTTATATCTGAATCCTGTACCAGATCTTTTATTTCCTGCATTTTTCTTGAGCTGATAACATACCTGAGCAGTGACAGACTAAAGGTATGCGTGTAACACTACCAAACTTTGATCCCTTTAGTTAAATCTGCAGTCGAATATGGCCTTATTGGGTTTTGCTTTGGTTTGTTATAGGATCCGTTAGCTTGACATTTGAATATCTTTTAAAACAAACAAAAATCTCTGAGCTTTTCCTGTTTCTTTTGTGTCTATATTTTGCAGGTGACTGAGACATTTGAAATTAATAAACAGGTCACGAGCACTTTGGTCAAACCAACTGTGCCGTGGCCTTATTTCAGTGTATTAACTTTATTTTTTTCTGTTTTTAAAGCAGACCCCAAACATTTCAAAGCTTTGCTGGCGTTGTCACTCCAGGTTTGTTTTAAGATAACAAGTAAGATTTTTGGAAGTGTTATCACGAGACAATAAGATTTAAGATTATATTCCAACATGTAAAACATCATGTCTGTGTGGAGCATGATCATAGTGTGTGTTGAAAAGGGCAGTTACGTGTATTTTTTATGGTTGATTGTTTTTTTTTCTTCAATTATTTTGTTTGTTTTTGCCCAAGAAAAGTTTTCAGAGTTACCGTTGTGTTCTTCATTTCTCTCTCTTGAAAAACATGCAGGTCAATAAGGCTTTTTTTTTTCAGTTAATCATGATTATAATTATTCTTAAATGTGCTGCTGTTGACTTTTCTTATGACATCTTACATTTCTCTTTAAATATCTCAAAGTTACCATGGAATGTGCCCTGGACAAAAAAAAACGGGGAAGAAAAAAGAAGTCTAGCCAAAGATGCTAACTTGTAGTCCCCAGCACGTTCTGGTTGCCAACTTGAGAAAATGCTACACAAAGATGGACTTACAAAGCCACCGAAGGCATGGACAAACCAGCATGAGTGATGCTTGTCGAGTTATAAAAAAAAGAAACAATCTGCATGAATCTTGTGTCTTTTATATTTTGACTCCTTATAGCAGCCGAGCCCAGTTGCGTTGTTCTTTACCACTTCACTCTGGAGAATGACAGGCAGCTAGCAGTTTGACGCTAGCTAACACAACAAAGAGCACAGTGCTGTTTGGCGAGAAGACCTGCGGACAAAATGGGGCTTACACGTGCGGCAGCTCCGTTTTACTGAGGTGGTCTTCTTGCCGCTGTATTATAGTAAACTATGTGGCCATTCTTCATAGTTGCTTTGGTTCGTCAACAACCGGTCCTCCCTCTGTCATGTCTGTACACCCTTTGACTGCCATTATGATTTTTTGTTATTGAATGTCCATATAAAATGTTTTATATAAAATGTTTTGTTGTGATCGAAGCTTTCAGGTTGTTTTCTTTCATCGCATTAATTTACCAAAATAAATGGATGAATTTTTAAGTTCAAGTCATTGTCACAGAAAACAGAACCAGTATGAAAGTATTAAAACCATAAACTGGACAACTTTGTCCCGCCTCCCGCTAGTTTATGGATTTGAAGCCGAAAAGCTCTCTGTATTTCCCTGATTTTTCTCCATTTCCTGAAACCAACATTGCGCAGTAGCGTTGTGCTCAATCCACTACTTGCTCAATAGTGTTATACGCATTCGGTGGGATTTGGTGAGTCGCTGTGATGACGCTCGGCTCAATCAGCTTATCCCTGGGTGAGCTACACAATCTTCGTATACTCATAGGCTGTATTAAGTGTCAATCATAGAAAACATGAACCCCCTAATAACTTTTAAAAATGGAGCTGCACAGAAAAAAGAGGACTTGAGCGCAAACCAGTCTTTCGGTAACTACATGTCAACATCGCAAACATGGGGGAGAAAACTTTATATTCGTCGTCGTTTTCTTCAGCTTCATCCGGGTCCGGGTCGCAGGGGCAGCAGCTTCAGGAGGGAAGCCCAGACGGCCCTCACCCCAGCCACTTCCACCAGCTCCTCTCGGGGGATTTCCAGGTGCTCCTAGGCCAGGCGAGAGATATAATTCCTCCACCAAGTCCTGGGCCAGCCACGAGGTCTTCTCCCAGTGGGACATGTCCGGAACACCTCTCACGGGAGGCGTCCAGAAGGCATCCTAACCAAATGCCCGAGCCACCTCAGCTAACTCCTCTAGACGTGGAGGAGCAGCGGTTCTACTCTGAGGGCCTCCTGAGTGTAATCTGTAAAATTGTAATCTGTGTAATAAATTTCTAAAGTTTGTCTACAGCTCCATAGGTACGGCTGGAGGAGGCGGGGTTTATGACCTATACTGCAGCCCGTCACTAGAGGGTGCTGTTCTCGGAGTGCCGGCAGATGGCGTCCATCCTATATACAGTCTGTGATTAAAACTCAGTGAAGTCTGTGAGGAGGCCTCACATGAAGTCATCTTTAAAGTTCACATGTGAAGTGATCCCATCGGTCTATCGTTCACTCAACTGTAAGTTTTCTTTTAGTCATCAATATATCTGACTCTTTAGAAGATGGTGGCTCACCTCTTTTTGTTGAATGAGCAGCACTGGTGGCATTAGCATGTAATGAGTTTTTTATATCACTTTGTATTTTTACAGCTTTCTGTGACTTTAGAAGTTTGACTTGACCAAAACTTTAGAGCCGCAGGCCAGAGAGTTAAAATCTTTAAGACCTTATGGAGGTCTTCAATCAAGCGACAAACCTTTACTTGTGATGCCATACTGCTACAGGCATGCTAGCAGCTACGTTGGTTTTTGTGATGGGCAACATGCTATTGTAAGCATGCTAACAGGCTTACAGTAAAACCCTTTCTTAATCAAGAAGCTTCAATTGGGATAATGTTTGCGAACTGTGGTGTGCATCCTGCTGACAGGACAGCTATGTGGGATAGGTTAGTGTTTTGAGCAGCATGCTTATGGATTCATGCATGCCAACTCGCTAAGCTAACAGCATAATAAAGATGATTTCATTGATACTCTTGAACATAAATTTCCTTCTGATTTCCAGGAAGTTTAAAATACAGTTTAATAAAGAACACAACATTTCTTCAGGGGAAAATATTTATTGTCACATACTCAACTGGTGCGCCTATTCCTACAGACAGTATGCACATATTTACTTCCAGAGTTCATAAAAATAAAAATATATTTATATATCATAAACATTTGTACATTAAAAAGGAATAGCTCCAAAGAGGGGGAGGGGTATGCAGCGGAAAAGGCAGGAGAGAGGACCGTAGGTTTAGTGGTACCATACTGCTAAACAGCAGCTGAGCCCGCCTCAAACAGAGTCAGGCTTGTTCACTGTCTCTCAGAAATCCACTAACCAAGTGCAAAGTATGGGTAAGGAATGTGAGGATTATTTCTTATGGCATGGAAACCTCAGTGAAGCATATATGTAATAATGATTAACATAGATATATAGAGTAACTTTAAAGTTATCGTAACTTCCTGTTTTGC